CTAGGGACACGAGCCAGGACAGCGTCGATTTCGCTAGCAGCCCCACGGGCCGTCCAAGTGATGCCCACGGAACGATGCAACGAGAGGCTATGTTTCTGAAGCAGAGCCCTCAGAAGCCCCATTCCCGAAAAGGTGTCCGAGCTGGCATGAAGGTCCTGGTTGAAATCACCGCCGACGATGACCATGGCCTCGCCACCTGTATCCTGCAGTTGAGAATCCAGTAGCTCCAAGGTGTCCTTCCAAACCTCCTCTGCAGAAGATCGTGGTTTAGCTTCGGTGCTGACCCGTTTACTGTGGGGCAAATGCAAACATGCCAAATGAATTCGGTGATTCCGACATGCACCATGCAGGACAAGACCAACGGGAAGCCCCGACTTGTGTGTCGCATGGAATTCCAGTTCGGTTTTGACAAGAATAGCCTGGTTGAGGTGTGCTTCGGGCGCGCTGCAGTGATACATCTTGTAGGGTACAGACCCAAAACAAAAATCCGAGACCTGAACCTCAGGAGTGGCCCCAGGACAAGCACCTAATTCCTGCACAAAAAGAAAGTCAGGGCATGGGACAGTCCCCTGCCACAGATCAGCAACCTCACGGAGACTTTTACCATGAAGATTCCAGGTACATGCTACGAATTCGGGTTTGAGGGGTCGCCCTCGTTTCCTGTTCCGGCCACCCTCCTAGGGGGATCCTGACGCCTCAACCTCGAAGTGTGTATGCAAGACCTTGAGATCAATCCCCAAAGTTCGAGCGAGAAGGGGACCCGGGACCCACCATCCCGTTTCGTGGCCCCGTACATCAAGCAACAACAGAGCCCCATCATCCGGACGTTTCTGGTCCACGTGGGCAAGCACACTGACCCCATTAGCCCAGAACCTTCCACGCCAGTCAAACTCAAAGTCCCTGGGGGGCAAATGTTTGGCAACAAGAGCCTTGAGGGACACTATGGCTCGAATACGGGCTCTCTCCTCAGGACTACGGTTTCGCTTTGCCCAAAGTGCCCCCGTCCCTTGCCCTGGAAGGGAGCTTGGCTGAGCAACTGCTCGGAGGGCCTCAACACACATGCCTTGGACCTTACGTCGTTCTGCCATGGCATCCTGCATGTACAGCAAGTCGACCCTACACGTGTTGGAACGCACCGAGCTGCAATGCATGGCCTGCAGGAGAGGGCCACACTCAGCTCTCGTGAACCAGTCTCTCACTTCTTGTTCGATGTCCTCGCGTTTCGCATCCTTCCAACCGCCTAAAACAACCTGCCAATCATCATGCGCGGGATTCCCACGAGCCCCACGAGGTGAATGCGTCGGAGTGTATGCTGAGGTGACACTAGGAGACCTAGAGCGAAAATCCCTCATCTCCTGTTCCATAGCCGCCAAACGGAGCTCAAGAGCCGCAGTTCGTTCTAAGTGCGAATCCTGCCTCGACTCCAAAGACTGCACCTTATCTGCTACTCCCTGAATGGAATCTCTAGTGACCTGGATGGCCTGCATCTGCTCGTGTTGTCCTCGATGAAGCCGGTCGATGCCCGCCTGAAGTGAGGCTGCCCACGGCGGGGGGACATCATCACCAATGTCGTACTCCTGTGGCAGCGGGCGTTTGTTCTTGTCGGGGGGGACAGGCCCCCCCCCAAAAAGGGGAGGGGGTTGCAGCCCCACTGGCGGTCCTTTGGCGGCAGCGGGATCGAGGGTCGGAGGTCGTGCTTTCTTTTCGGGGCTTGTTTTAGGCGAGGACTTGGGGGCTCGGGTGGCTTGGTGTTTAGCAAGGAGATTAGCGGCCACCGCTGCTGCTTCAGCCTGCTTGGCTTCAGTTTCCGCCAGCCCCACCCCTCTCCCCGGTCCAGGATCACACGGCCCACCCACGGCATCCCCCAAGGCGGCCCGGAGCGCATCCTGGGCCGCTTCTTGCATAACCATGTCGGGCTGCTCGGCCCCCAGAAGAGCCCCTGAGCTAATTGGCGTCCCAGCGTCATCCAACCCCCCCCCCCCCCCTCCAGTTGTTCGGAACGGTGCAGGTGGGGCAACAGGAGCGTACTTTCGTCCGACCCCGCCATCCCGACGAACGACGACACGACGAGAGGGACTGGTGGAGTAATGCACCCGGGAGGCCTCAGAACAGGACTACGAGGAGGAGGAGAGCTCAAGCCTGCCCGACGCGGCCCGGAAGGCGCGACCGCGCTCCAGGGGCACACACGCCAGCTGACGGCGGACTTGAGCCAAAATGGCTTGAGCCAAAATGGCTACGGAATTCCTGGGTTTACGGGAACCTAGGGTTTGGGGTTTGGAACCGCAAAGGACTACATATCACCACCGAGTAAACACGCTACATTCCATGGCGGCTGGACGGGTTTGGGGTGCTGCGTGTTGGCTACACGCGTCCTCGAAATTCTTGCAGCGCTGTACCCGACTGCTGTTCCTTTCATGCAGCTGGTGCACGTTCTTTTCCACTCCATTTAGGAATGCCCAGGAAAAGCCTCACCGAGAAGCAAAGGCAGCTGCAATCCTCAGATGCTGTCTACTGTTTACTGTTGGAAAAGTCGGAGCATGTCGGAGCAGCCAGCTGAGCAGCTGCATGATGAAACACCTATCTCAATGCAGGACTGCAGCCACCATTGACAACAGGACTGTACCCGCCATTCACAGCAGGACTGTAGCCAGTGTTCAATACAGGAATGTAGCCACCACCACCAGCAGCCCGACCCCAAGTTACTATGGATTCATCGGAAAGGATGGCAGCGAAAGCTCTGCTAGACGCTTGGATCTGCTGGACATTCTTCAGCTGATCCTGCACGGCGCTACTGTCCCCACCACGGTGAGTGTCACCCCACGTCACGACAGATCCATCACCAAGAATGGCAGCAAAGGCATAAGCACATGCTTGGATCTGCTGCACTTTCTTCAGCCGAGCCTGCACAGCAGTACTGTCACCACCGTTTTCAGCAGCACCCCAGGTCACCACAGACCCATCGCCCACAATGGCAGCAAACGCCCGGGAAGAGGCTTGGATCTGCTGCACATCCTTTAGGCGATCCTGCACCGAAGCGCTGTCGCCACCACTGTCAGTAGAACCCCAGGTTACAACGGATCCATCGCCAAGGATGGCAGCAAAGGCCGTTCCTGTGGCTTGAATGTGCTTGACTTTTGTCAGCCGATCGCAGACGGCACTGCTGTCCCCACCACAACTGCCCCACGTCACGACAGACCCATCACCAAGAACAGCTGCAAATGCGCTGCCGGAGGCTGCGATCTGCTGCACATTCCTCAGCTGATCCCGCACACCAACATTTCCGCCACCACGCCCAGCTTTGCCCCAGGTCACAACCGATCCATCGTCGAGCATGGCTGCAAAAGCATCGCCAAACACAGTACGACAGGTTTGGATCTGCTGTACGTTCTTCAGCTGATCTTTCACAGCACTACTGTCACCACCATTTTCGGCACCGCCCCAGGTCAAGACAGACCCATCGCCAACGATGGCAGCAAAAGCTCTGCTAGCAGCTTGGATCTGCTGTACATTCTTCAGCTGATCGTGAACAGCACGACTGTCACCGCCATACTGAGCATGACCCCAGGTCGCGGCAGATTTATCGCCAAGAATGGCAGCAAAAGCTCCGTAAGAGGCTTGGACATGCTGCACATTCTTCAGCTGATCCTGCACGGCGCGACTGTTCCCACCATAACGAGCATCACCCCAGGTCACAACAGATCTATCGCTAAGTATGGCAGCGAAAGCGTGGTCATTGGCTTGTATTTGCTGCACATTTTGCAGCCGATCCTGTAGTAAACTGCTGTCACCACCACGGTGAGTATCACCCCAGGTCACGACAGATCCGTCGCCAAGAATGGCAGCAAAAGCATCTGCGGTCGCATGAACTTGAACTCGGCTTACTTGCAGGGTCAGCATATCACCATTCTGCACCCTGGCATCCTTTACTGTCACACGCGAAGCTAGAACATTTCCAGATTTGTCCACCAGCCGCCCTCTTCTGATTCCTAGTGCGGCATGCGCGCGACATCTCAGTACTTCCACCTCTTCTTCCAAGCCGACTTCAACGGTAGCCGTCCTGCCGCTGAGCAGTCCTACATCCACAGTGATCGACATTGAAATGGCGTGTCAAGCAAAGTCTACATCACGAAGTCATGCCCTAACACCTTAAACCCTAGAGCCCTAAACCTATAAACCTATAAGGGCATAGGGCCTGGGGCTTTCATGTTCCGTGTTCCGGGTGCTGTGCATTCAGGTATGGGACGTGTGTATGGCGGGGGGGGGGGGGGGGCGCCGCTTCGGCCTATGGGCTTTGGGGCTTCAAGGGGTTTAGGGTTTAGGGGCTTTAGCGTTTAGGGGGTTTAGGGGCTTAGGGCTTAGGGGGTTTAGGGGCTTAGGGTTATTGTTGAGACAAGGCTTAGCAAAGGGACCATTACTATAGTTACTACCAGTGCTACTACGAGTACTACTATTATTATTGCTAGTGTTATTAAAGTGTGAGTCTTAGTCTTAGTGCTATGATTACTGTATTACCAGTGTTATGAAGGGTCTAAGGGCAACCACGGTGACGAAAGGTTGCCAAACTATTGTACATCTTGGCACAGGGCGGCTGCGAATGGGCGGAGGGCAGGAGGAGGAGCTTTGCAGCAAAATCAGTAGTAAGAATTAACACTGGTTCGTAGTAGCAATTGACCCACTTTGTAGTAGCCCAGCAGCAGCAGTGGTCGCCATCGCAATCCCAAATCTGATATCTCTTTGTTCTGAAACAGAGCGGGACAGAAACATGTGCAGCTGGACATGTCATATGCCGTAAGTTTAAGTTCATCACATCTTGAAGAAAGCCTCAAGCATTGAAAGAACCTACCATCACATATTTGGGACAGATGAGACGTGTGGGTCCGTGTAGGTAAGTATTCAGCAGAGTATACGACTATCATGCATTTGCACCGTTGGGGAAGCAACAGGATACAACACACCGAGAATCCAAACCTAAACCCCAAACCCTGGCTCCCAGTGGTCGCCTTGGTGCCGTTAATTTCCTCCACGCCATCCTCGTCTCCCGTGGCCGCGAGATAGATCTGGCCACGGCGACTTGCACGTATTTCAGGATGTCGGTAAATCACTAAATCCTAAACCCCAAACCTTAAACCGTTTTTGCACAAGCTTGTGTGAATCCCGCCAAACCCTTCCTAAACCCTGAACCCCAAAAGGTTCGTCCTGAAACGCATCAGCTTGAATGGGCTTCAAAACCTACCAATGCGCATTGCTCTCTGTTCACTTGGGCGGCTTTCGAAGCACCAAAACCAAAAGCCCTAACCCCTGAACTCCGAACCCTATACCCTAGAACCTTGTAGATCCCCTTAAAGGAACCCTTATAGTATCCCTTTAAAAGAACCCTACTAGTACCGTCAGGGTTAGGGGTATCGGCTCCATCGAGAGACTCAACCGGATGGCCCCGAGTTTAGGTTTTTTTTTGAAGGACCCTTTTCCGTCTCGCATGATCCGAGTTTAGGGTTTAGAGGGCCGAGTCTTTGAACCGTTTTGGGGGCCGGAATCCAGTTAGAATAGGAATTCTGGGGTATATTGTACCATCATGTACCCCAACCCTAAAGCCGTAGGATAAGTTGCAAAGGGAGCCCTCTGGACGTTTCTTAGTAGCATTCCGAATCCTGGAGTACCTATGTATTGAGCCTTTGGACCACTGTGGCCCTGCTGTTTCTTTCGTTTGCAATAGGCATTCGACGAGCACAACTCCCCCAGTGTTGAATCATATTCTATATGTATATATATATATATATACACAAGTATGTAAAATAATTACTATGTACATAGTTTGTATATACATATATTATAAGGGTTCAGGACCACAGACCAAGCATGTCGAGTTGCTACTTTGGGAACTCCGTATGTTGTGGCGCATGAACATGTGTCACCTTGCCACAGTCTCGCCTCTTTTGGAACTTGTACTGAGGCCGATGCGTGTGAGGGTAGAGAGCATCCTCCGGACTGCTCAAGGCAACAGGGATGCAAGCATGAGACTCATCCAACTTGAGATCTTACAGCCTCGCCTAGAAACCCTACACCATCCTGCCTAAAGTCTCCATTGCAGTTGGTCTTCTGGGTTACCTAATGGGATCCAAAATTGGTTCAGCCAAAAAAAGGAAACACAATGGAGACTATAGGTAGACCCTCAATTCCGCGTAGAGGTTCATGGGACTTAGTAACTGGGCTTATAATTAAGGTAACTATACTTATAATTACATATATAACCCCAAGTACGGGACCCTCATGAACAACATAGCAGGCCGAGAGGCTTCGGCGATATCCGGGTATAAACTCTGCACGCTGGCCTCGGAACGGCAGGGCTCTCTGCGGGCAATAGGGTTTAGGGTTTTGGGTTTAGGGGCCTTCAGAACCTAAATCCGTGGATGGTTTTATCTAGGTCCTAAAGTACAGGCTTTCTGCATAACCTATTCAAACCCTAAACCCTAAACCCTCAACCCTCAACACCCTCAACTCACAGGGTTGAGAAGAGGACCCTGTCTGGTGGGTTGCACTTTGCCGATGGGTTTAGGGTTTAGGGTTTAGGGTCCATATCGGGCCTCCTACTGTCTACTGTCTGTGGGTCCTATATGTGAATCACCATATACCTGTGTATAATCGCCCATCATGTAACCTGGGCTTGCATTTAGCGGTATGTGATGTTCGAACTTCCTACACCTTCGCAAGGAGCTAAACGCAAAATCCCAAAATTATAGAGTCGTGGCAGCGCTTGATGTTTCAATCTTGGAGGGGGGTGCTCTCAAAGGCTCAGAGCACAGCACAAGTGCATGCTGCCAAAGCCGTGAGCGGTAAGCCGAACACCTTTATTTCCCGGAGTAACCACGGGTCACATCACTTTCAAAGGCCCTTTGTACCCTAAGCACGAAACCCACGAAGAGTTTGTACTCCCAGCCTGGCCACAGATCTTGCGATCCCGGCTCCGTACAGTAAGTTTGGGTCTACCTGTAGCCCTACACTTTGCAAAATAGTAGGTTATTACCCCTTAAGTAACGGGTGTAACTTTTACAACAACAAGGTTTCGGTCCACAGGTAGGGGTCAGGGATTTACAGCGCAGGTGAGTATTCCGACGCTGCAAATGACATACTAGTAGCAGCAACTCACAGAAACAAATCCCTCGCGCGGAAAAGGATGCCAAACCGAACCTGTCTCCAGGCCCTCGTTTCTTTCACAAGACCCTACGGCGTAGGGTAGGGTTGGAAGGTTTGCAAGGGTTTATTGGGTCAGGGCTTCAAATGGCCCGAATTGCTAGCCCCCTCAACCCTAACCAACAATAAGCCCTGAACCCCCAACAATTAGGTGGTTGTCAAAATTATGGTCCCTTTTCGGATATTCTAAATAATAGGTGCCGTACTATAACAAGGACCCAAAAAGGGACCCGAATTTCGACAACCACCCAATTAAGGTTAGCTCCGGCTTTGGGAGCAGCCTGTGGCCCCAAACCCTACAAAATAGTAGGTTATGACCCCTTAGTTAGAGGGCAGAACCCTTAAAACGGTAGGGTTTTCGGATCCCAAGGAGAAGCTTTGGTGTCAGCTGCAACCGAAGATGTATCAAGCTGGCAGCCGTAGGAAAGAAGACTTCCAGCTTTGGGGGTCGGGTTCGGGCTTAGGATTTAGGGTTTAGTGAGGGTTTAGGGTAAAGTTTGAACTCAACCTCCGGGCGTAGTGCCTGAAACAAAATCCTTGTATCATAGGTCAGCTTTACGCTCTCGCAACTCGAACTCGCCATAGGTCAGTTTTCGCCATAGGCCAGTTATAGGGTTTAGGGTTCCGGCCCTCTGAAGCGAAGCGATGGATTCGAGCAGCCCTCGAATTTATCCAAGCGGCTGCACACCCTTTGAGACGATCCAAGGGGATTTCGTGGACCTTTTTGGTGTACTTCTGCGGGTAGAACCTGCTCAGACAAGAGGTTTACTGCTCAGACAAGAGGTTTACTGCTCAGACAAGAGGTAGTTTAGGGTTCAAGACCCTAAACTCTAAACCCTCAACCCGAAGAACACGGGTTAGGGTTTCCGACTCAGAGTCTCGCACAAGGCAGGCAAGCCTCAGTTTGGGTAAGTAAGGTTATAAGTACCCTAATTGGAGTTGTAAGCAGTTATACGTATGGCTACCTTATTCATAACCCTCGTTACTAAGTCCCATGAACCTCCAAGTAGGGGAACGGCCCAGTGCGAGTATTGAAGAGCGCTTAGCTTAACCTGCACGAAAGGTGCTCTACTTCACTTACAGGCCCTGTGTATGGTAGGGTCTCTCCCAGAAGGATCTTAAGGCATCAACCTCCAGTTAAGCTTTTTCTGGCAATCGCAGTAATCCGAAACCCTTTTGCAACAGGCTTCCCACTTCGTAATTCTAAACCCTACATAGAGGCTCATACCCTACCCCTTTTTCAGGATTCCTAGTTTTGTGGTTGGGATCTGTTATCTTAAAATGTCGGCGCCCTAAAAAAGGGGTAGAGTATGAGCCTCTAGGTAAACCCCAAACCCTAAGCCCCCATCTCCTCAACTTCTCAGGGGCCCTAAACGGCTCAGTAGGGTTGATGATATAGACCCTGCATTGCCCATAATAAGGAAGATACCATAATTCCCATAGTTTAGGGTCCCTGAGGTAGTGCAGGATCTATATCATCAACCGTATGGCAGCCAAAGCTACTCCGAGCTCGGATCCTATTTCAAAAGGTCTTTTAAGTACCTAAAGGGTTTCCTTTAAGTCATGGTTACTGTAAAGATTCCTGTAAGGGTTTCTACAAAGGTTTAGGGTTCAAGATATATGAGTAGAGAAATGGAGAACACCCGAGCCCCTGAACCCCAATTACTGTAAACCTTGAATCCCGATCATCCTAGACGAAAAGTGTCTTGGAAAGCAATCGAGCTCCTGCGGTGGGAAAGCCCCAGCGTATCCCTCGCTGCCCAGAAGATGGCAAAGTACAGACTAAATCGTTACATAGAGTTTAGGATACAGGGTTGAGGGTGAGAAGTGGTAAGGTTCCCGCAGCTATCTAGGGAAAAATCGGCCGTGTGGCGGTTAATTGCCGACAGTTGTATGCATCTCTGAAAACGCACCACGTAGGCTGACAAAGAAAGTCAAACCAGCCAAGTCCTCTGAGCTCAGAACTTACACGGGTAGTTGTCAAAATTGGGGTCCCTTGTTGGGTCCCAATATAATACGGCACCTACTATTCAGGGTACCCAAAAAGGGGCCCTAATTTTGACAACTACCTACATAACACTGCTCCACCCTGAAACGGCCATGCCTGCATAACCGGTAGTAACACAGGCAGTAGTCTCGAACAATGAATTCTCATCATTAAAATCTCCCTTTTCAGCATGGACACAATCCAAGCCCATTAAAATCTCCCCTAAAATCTAGACAGCGCCTGCAATGCCAGCACCCAAAGCCCAGACTATGATCTCACATGCAAGAAACCCTCAAGCCGAAATCTGCGAGTTTCTGGGCAGTTTGGGGTCTGGTCTCCGATAGTGTCTTAGGGTTTGTAGGGTCCAGGTGGAAAGATGTCGTGAGGGCCGTCGTGAGGTGCTTGTTCTTGCGAGGGTTTAGGGTTTGGGGTTTCCCCAAACCCTACAGAATAGTGGGTTATGGCCCCTTAATTAGAGGGTCGAAACCTTAAAACGGCAGGGTTTCTGCATCCCCAGGTAGTTGTTCCAGGGCTTCGGGTCTGGAGGTTCGGGTGAACTGAGCATCCGCACCAATTCACGTCGTAGAAGCGATAATATTCCTGCATGCAAAGCTGGTTGCGCCAAAACGTGGCTGCTTGCCAAGTGGTCGTTACATACATACATACATACGTACGTACATACATACTTTCTTACTTACAATACTGTACAAACAAACAAACATACATACATACATACATGCATGCATGCATGCATGCATGCATACACACACATACATAAACTCATATATGCAAGCATACAAGAAAATAAACAATAAGTCATACATATACTGGCAAAGCATAGCAACACCTAACATGAAATGACATAGCATGCATGTCAAAACATAACATTGCATTACATGGCATACATACATACATACATACATACATACGTACGTACATACGTACATATACGCATGCAGTCAGATGTACGTACATACATAACTACATACATACATACATACATACATACATACATACATACACACAAACAGACATCCATCCCTCCACCCATCCATACACAAACACGTACGTAAACACCTACATAGCCACCTAGGGGCATGCATACATACACACGCATGCATGCACACATGCATTCACGGCTTCAAACAAAACATTCGGACACATGCCCGCACGCTCGGGCAGTCGCGTGCTTCATGAAAGTGCAAAAGCGCCACTTCACACATTGACATGCATTGCACTACGCAGAAGGGTGCGTGGATTTCGTCCTTGTGTGCATCCGTGTATGAATGCATGTACATGTATTTCTGACGGTAGTTGTTCCTTTCGGTCCTTGCCTCCGACTCGCTTGCCAGTCCCAGACGCTTGAAGCCATTAGGCATCGCAGCACTTTCGTCTACTCGCTGTTGACATTGACTTGCAAAACTTAAACCTGAACCTTTAACCCGAAACCCTAGACCCCAAATTAGAGACAATTAGAGGCTCGAGAGCGGCTTAGGGACTTGGATTTGGTTCAGGCCTCTGGAAAGCCGGAGAATTTACAAAGATCTTCTGGAGGGACTTAGTACAGGGGCCTTAATAAATAGAGTGGTGCTTGGGGGTATGTTTTTCTATACTTACAATGAGGAACCACCGAAATAGTATAGGTAATTCTTAAGGCCCCTATATTACTTCAAGGCCGAAGTTTACCCTTTGGGGAGTGTGGACCCTCAGAGCTACTGAACCCTAAACACTACTATACCCCCACGCCCCACAGGACTACTCAACTCTGACTGCCGTAGACCTTAAGGAAGCCCGGAATTCTCGGCATCTTCTACACTTCCTATAAAACTTTGAAACCCTTTTATAACTCCCTAGGAAACCTGCCAAGAACCCCCACAAAAAAACGCGGTCCAAAGCGAGGCCATCTTCCATCATCGCTCTCTGCTTCGGCTCGCCCATGATGAACATGCCACTATTGCCAATCTGGGTTTGTGGGTTTAGGGTGTAGGGTTTGGGTGTAGTTGCCAGTCTGGGGTGCCCTTCATTGGCTTATATAAGGTTTAGCGCCTGTTTGCTGATTGCTAGTCGGGGTTGTGCCGCTTGTAGCTTTTAACTATTATGTAGTGTACTGCTGCTAGTTTAGGGGGAGGGCTGTTTGAAGGCTCATTGCTTATCTGGGTTTTGTTGCTTTTGGATTTTAGACTCAGGGCCAAACATTAACTGCCACTCTGGTTTGTGTCCTTTAAGCAATGATTCCTAAGAGTAGCTGAGAGTGGGCATCCCCTGCAGCGGGCCTTCTTTACAAGCGTCTCGCCCAACGAACAACCTTGACCAAGGAACCTGACCAACTGGAACAGGATTGCTCGTTTAAAGGGTTCTTTTTGAGGTAACTGAAAAGCATGTTAGAGGGCCTCAATACGAGAGCCTAAAACGTAGAATGGGGTTTTGGTGTGGATTCTAGGAGATGTATCGTAAGGAACCACAAGAAATTATACTAGTTAATACTCGAGCTCTGTTAACCGAGGCGCAGCAGCCAAATCTCTTTTGTCTGGGTTCACTGGCGGTCTCGAGAATGTGTTCTGGGTCTAGGATGACGTAGGAAAAGGGCGAAGACATGTTGGCCGAAAAAACCTCCCAGAGGCTGTTCCTGGGATTCCAGCTTTATTCAACTCTCGCAGGTGGTGATGTAGATGCAAAAAGTTCGTCTGCACCTAACCCCAAAGCCCTCAACCCCAACACATCCAAGTCCTTAAAAACCACCCAGCTAAAACCCTAAAAACCTACATCCAAACCTTCAGAAGTCGAGGCACATAGGGGAGGATGTTGATAATGGTGGGCGCTATCGGACCAAGATCTTTCAGCGTCACAGAACCGTAGTCGGTTGCCGCGAACCTGAAGAGGCTTTAGGGTTTAGGGATTCGGGGGGGGGAGGGGTGGGGTGGGGTTTAGAGTTTCCGGTTAGTGATTAATGGCCTATAGGCCTATAGGTTCAAGAATGCGGGGACCTGAGCCCGTCATCCTGACCTGAAGGGTTGGAATAAAAATCAAAAAACTCAACCCCAAACTCTGAACCCTAATCCTAAACCCCAAACCCTAATCCTAAAACTTAAACCCCCGAACCCCCAGCTAGCTTCAGGATTGCAAGGTTGGGACTCGCGGGCTTGGGCAGGACTTTGAGGAGGGGCTGACGTGGGCAGGGCTTTTGGGGATTTAGGGTTTAGGGTGTACGAAAGGGCTTTTGGAGAGTTGGGGTTCTATTTCAGCATCCACGGTTGAGGGTTTAGAGGTTTATGGGTTTAGAAGTTTAGAGTTTAGGGTTCCGGGGGTTGGAGTTTCTAGGGATTTAGGATGGTTTAGGGGGTTAGGGATTAGCGTTTAGGGGTACCTCGCCTCCGGAAGCCGTAAACCCCGAACCTTACACACGACTGTAAGGGGCAATATTATTGATTTTTTTTGGCTCCCACTTGGCTGATCCGAAGACCGCATTGCAGTAATATTGATAGTTAGATGTAAAGTATGATGAAAGAGCGTCTCCTACCGGGCAAAAACCTTTACAAAGGCCAGGTTGCCAGCTTTCCAGACCCAGATCATACTTTCGCGGTGGGTCGCAACCGTCTTCTGGAACACCTTCGCAGATTTGGAGTTTAGGGTTTGGGATTCATTCAGAGATGTTGGGCTTCGTGACCCTAAACCCTCGGGCATTCGGGTTAGGGCGTAAAGCTGCGAAAACAAACCCAGCATGCTGCACACACATTCATATGCATCACTTAAAATCTTAGGCATCACGACTTCCCCATCTTGCTCTCTTCTCTTCTCTTCTTCTCTCTCTGTAGATCGACACACACATATATATATATATATATATATTAATGTATATATTAATTTATATATATATATATATATATATATATACAGATACACACACACACACACATGCATATTGCCCCGCATATGGCTATTCGTGGGAAGCGTTCCTCTGCTAGTACTGCAAGATTACTGCTCGTACTTGGGTTACGAATGGAGTGATGCCAACCTCAGTACCTGAAATGTCTTTCAAGATTGCATTGACAAGTTCACACACACCGACACACATGTTTACATCTAGAAGTCCGTCGTGTTGACTGCCTTTGCTTCCGGTTCCACAAACGTTTAGAATCCCCCACGCCCCAAACCCCAAATAAGGTAATTCGCCGCAAAAAAACAAATCCGAACCCCCTAAACCCTATAAGCCCTATAAACCCTGAAGGCCTTCAGGGTTGACTGCATCATGTAGGGATTAACCTACCCTTGAGAAAAGCGGCTCCAACCTGCAAAACCGTAATCACAAAGACTGAAACCCCCTAGGGGTTTAGGGTTGTTTTCCCTCCTACTCGGCCAGGACGAAGCCCGCATTGCGGGGTACTTGGTTGAACAGCGAGGGGTTTTTTTCCCTCCTACCTAGCAGGGACGAAGCCCGCATTGCAGGGTGTCTGTCTTGAATAGTGGACTACAGCCAGTTGCACAATTGGTATTCAACGGCGCGGCTAATTGATAGGCATGGCGACCAGAAAGACATGCTGATCCCGTCGTCAGCCTGGGACAATACATGCAGTGTGTAGTCGATAACTTCCCTGCTTTAAGCAGTGAAGCAAATGTTGACCCTCAACTCACAAGAAGTCTTATCATTTACAGCTCTTCATCTCTCAAGGGCGTCGTCACTGCCAGCAAAAGGCCGTTAGCAGAAGTGGACAAAGCGCCAGGAAATCGTCGCTCATGCTTGCACATGCAGTCAATTCAAACTCCCAACATTTGCACTTGCACTTGCATTCTCCTTGCAAATGCAATCAATTCATGCTGTTGCACATGCAGTCAGCCCATATGCGGATGCACAGAAGCATCAAGACACTCCATGGCAGCTTGGCTAAGTCGGAGATGGCGCTAAGTCTGCGAATACAACCACCAAAGGTGGGTGTATTCGAAAACAAGCAGCCGTCGAAAAGCGGATAGCAACAGTCCGAGACGTCATTGTTTGACAAGTCTGTGGGGTGAGCATGACCTAGAGCAGGAAACACAAGGATCTGCATAGGTCCAGCAGAAAATAAATGCATCTTTGGAGGCCTTCCAGAATACATCGCCTTCAGTAGTCATCGCTGGGTGCTGACAGAAGTTACCTGCTCATCCAATCCAGTAGACGGGCTTGCCCAGTCAATGCAGAACGTTCATGCAGAAGCACGGGGCAGAGCATCGACATAGATGAAATCATGTCTCCCCAGTAGAAGAGCAGAGCTGACAAATGTCAGCGGACCAAGTCAGCGCGGATTCACATACAGTAGGCGTGCAGTCAGATTGGCCATGGCAAAAGAAAGATAGAACATTTCACCGAAAGGATACCAGAATATACAGATGAAAGAGTAGAAAGACCGAAAGAGAGCCCCAAACCCGGAAGCTTTTACAAGAACCCATGGTTTATGGAAGCATGGTTCATAGGGCCCTGAAGCAGTTCGGGCAGTCATGTGGGCAATGAAAGGGTGACGACGATGGCGTGAGCAGTGCAGCAGGTGTTCCAATCCGGCGCGTGGTCAGTGAGCGGACGGTCGTTTTTATAGTTTTTTTGTGGGTTTCCACGAGTTGAGGTGACCACGACGACGGGAGGATACTGCCGTGCTGGTTGTGTGCTTGAATTGTGGAGTCTGTCTACTCTCATCTCTCCCGCTCTCACCTATCCAGTCAACAGTCAGCACACATGCGAGACATGCAAGAAGCAGCGGATCTGAATTCCGAATGTCCGAAATGCAAGTACGACCCAAAACCTTAATTCCAAATTCCAAATTACAAAAGCAGGAGTGCACAGTCTGAATTGAAGGTCCCTCGCCAAGATGGACCAGGTCAATCGTCCTTCTGCGTGGATGTCCAGGAGCGAGAGCGGGAGGATTCGGCGGAGGGGGGTGTGGAAGGGCCAGTGGGTTCAGGGGGATGCTTTTCGGCTACACTCGTTGACTCATCATGTTGTGACTCTTGGGTATCAGAACTTGAGCTAACGGTAAAGACAGTTCCATGCCCGAGAAAGTCCATTACATGCTGTTGTTGTTGTCCCGCTACAAAGGCGTGATCAAGGGAGGACTGTGCGGGGCCTTCAGATATCGTAGCTCGGGGAATAGGTGGGAACCCATACTCATCCACAAGATGCCGACAAATAGGAGAGTGTAGGGTGAGAGTCGTCCATGCAACAAGAACTATCCTTCGGGGTCCTGTCCACTTCTGTGTGCAGTGTAAGACAGTCTTACCGTTGAAAACAAGGGGATGTTGACTGCAATCTACAATGTGATCTGCTACTTTCATCCCATTCGCCACCTGAACCCTTCGCAATCCACAAACCACCTCCTGTTATGTTCGTAGTCAAAACTTGAATGAACTGATCTTCGGGCCCGTTGTTGGTATCCCTGTGGGCCCCTTTGCAGGCATTGAGGCGGAGGGAAACGACATTGAAGGGCAGGTCAGGGCATACTGCTCGTATGTATGCGGCAAGGAGTTTGGTAGTGTTTGGGAGGTCGAGGGTCGAGACACACAGGCTGTCTGGCTTTCGGGGGTTTGTTCCAAGGACGAGAATACGTGCTTCTGGGTTAAGCTTGTCACGCTGTTTAAAGCAATCCGGAATAGTGTCCCAAATATCAAGCAAAACCTGGTTATCAATAGTGCATCCTCGGTTCACCTTGCAGAGTTCAGCATAAGCTATGGTCTCGGGTAGAGCAACGGTTGGGGCAACCCTAAGGCGTCGGGACAGGATTTGAAGTTGTTCTGGCTCCAGACCAAAGTCGTGAGGTGCAAGCTGAAAACGGATGGCGGCGTCAGGTGAGTCATCATGTTTGCGTTTCATCCCTGGCAGCTGCTACCACTGATACTCCCCTTGAGCTGAGGCTGAGGCTGCACAAGCTGAAGTGATCGCAACGCGTCAGCCACAGACTCTGAGGTTAAGATCATGGGAGCGCTCAGGCAAAATCTGTTTTCTCAGTGCTGGGCACAGTGTCTGAGCTGCGATCGTGAACATCGAACAGCGAGACGGCTCATTATGTGTGTCAATTAGGAGCCTGTTAATTACAAATTAGCAAAGTTACAATGCAGGATGTTGAATTAGATGCAAAGGACAAAATTACAAATTTGGAGCATTGCAATGCAACATGCAAAAATTATGGCAGGCATGCAGAAGCAATTGGCAAGGTGCAGGTTGCAATCAGGAATTCGGGGCTTGCAAAAATTAAGGGCTTGCAAAAATTAGAGTCGAGCCTTCGGGACCATACAAGTCCAAACCCGGTCGACAGCGACACAAAAGCTGATAGAAAAGTTCACCGCGGTATGGTACAATCTACTACTATGTTACAGTGGATGCAACCAGGCTGTGCAGCCGTTTAGAAATTGCCTCGAGCCATCAGCGCTCTCAACAGGTCAGAGGTCGTAACTGTGCGAAGAGGATCTCCCACCATGTAGATTGGGGATTGACCCGATGTGAGAGGCTGTAGGTGCTCGGAGAGGCGTAGAGGTTGCGAGCCACAGTTGGCTTGAGCAGGCTGCATATGTGGCTGGGGCATAGGCATAGATGGCGGCTCCATCGGTGCCGGCTGTGGCGCAGGCGCTGCAGCTTGGGAGCTTGATGGCTGTTCGGCCGGTGGACTTCTCTTGACGATCTTTGGTGTTCGATCGAGCACCACCTGCAGCTGATCCTGCACGATCTTCTGTGCCTCGTTGATCTGCATGATTGTATCATGCACCTCTCCGAGGCTCTCTTGAAGCCCGTTCACAAGCCCTTCAACCTTGAAGACCCTGGTATCTGTGTTGCCAGTGATCTCTTGGAGAGCTACCATGTCTTCCGTCGCCTTGCTGGCTGCCTGATTGGCTTTCACCAAATAGTCGATGGCATTGGTGAGATTGTCCTGTAGAGTTTTGCTGGAAGGTACCAGGACATTGAGTCCTCTGAAGGCACTTTGGGTAGCGCCTTGCAAGGATTGAACATCCTTTTGCAGACTGTCCAACTTCTGCTCGCTCCTCGTCTTCGCCACATGTAGGTCCACACTGGTCTGCTTTAGGCTGCTTCGAAGCTCCTCCGTCGTCGTCTTGACTTCCGTCAACTTTTCAGAATGAGCGCGCTGCTCACTTTGAAGGTGGTGTAGGGACTCCCTTCCCTGCTTAAGGAGGCCATCGCTGAGCGTCTCTTGAAGTCCGAAAGACTTTGCAGTATCCAAAGCCGTTGCACTGACGGCTTTCTCAAGTCGTGGGAGAGCCGAGGTGAAGCCGTAGATCTCCTTGATGCGTGGCGGGACTTCTTTCGTCCATTGTTCCATCAGGTGCCCAGTGCTCTCAGCAATGTCCATGATCTGCTGCAAAGTACTCTCCATTTTGCCAAGTGTATTGCTTCGTTGAAGCTCAAGCACGAATGACTGGAGTTCTTGATTGTCCTTGCAAAGTTGTAGTAACTTGGCATCCAGGCACTGCATGGTGGAGAGGACTTCAGAGTCCATGCGAGGAACCGCCAAGGAAACTCCCGACACTTGGGATTGAAGCTCCAGCAAAGTTCGCATGATGCCTGCAAGGGCACGGGATTGGCCCAGGCCTTGTCGATAATGCCCAAATGTGAGCAGCACAAGCCAGAACAGGGCAAGAATTCCTGCTAGCATGAGCCACTGTTGTCCCTGCAGAAAGAGGGTCCCCAGAGAAATTGCATCTCCAAGTTGCTCAAGGCTCATGCTGGCGCCTGTCATTGGCGCTGATACTTCCACCGTTGGCAAGGGAGCATCCATGCTGATGGTACGGTCGGGGATGCGTGTGAGTCTGCTCAGGCTCGTGGGGCAGCTTGGGCAGTGCAATCAAGTTACGGAATTTAGCGTTCGTCCTGCCCCCCCCCCTTTTCAGTTGAAAGTAATTGTGCAAGCGCAGGTGGAAAAGCAACAAAAGCCCAATCATGGACCTAACCATGCATGGAAATTAGGCATGTTTTGATGTGGCAGCGTCATGAAAACTCGGCTAAAATTAGCAGTGCGATAGAGAGTACGATAGTGTGAGAAGCAAAGAGAAGCCTTAGCTGCTTTATCAGTGAGGGTATTTAATGGATGTCCTACATGTCCGCGTACATGCTGAATGGAAACCCGCGAAGAAATGTGATTCCAGAGACACAGTAATTCACAGATGTCGTGGGGATACGAGGAACAATGGACTTGGACTTGGATGATTTGAAGAACAAGAGCTGAGTCAGTCATATAAACAATGGGTATATCAAAGAGAAAAGGAAGAGCATTGCGGATCATTTTAAAGGCCAAAATTGCCGCTCGAATTTCAGCTCGTGTGCACGTGCAACGATCCTGGACTAGAGCTTGTGCAATAACAGCTTCTTCTATAGGAGCATAAGGGGCGAGGAAAGAGACCGCTGTGCCTCCTTTGTAGTTTTTACTACTCCCGTCGGAACAAACCTGAATGGAGGCTTCATTGTCGAAAATAGCAACATCTGGGACAAACTGAAAGGAAGTATCGTATTCTTCTTCAATTGGGACGTGGCGAAAAGGAAGAAGCGTGAATTTTTCGCCAACCTGAAGGAGACTCCTACCGAGAAGGTCAACAGTACTAAGATTAGGGTAGTATTGCAAGGGTTGTAAATGCTTAAAATCTAGCCAAGATTGTATAAAACTTTTCCAAAGCTGTTTATCGAGAGCAGCATTTTCCCAAAAGGGGGGTGTGTCTAGACCTCTGAGTTCTTCCCATGCAAGTTGAATTAGTCGATAAGAATTAGGCCAGAAGCCGAGTGAGCGTCTGTGGGTTTTCCAATTTTGATGCAACCAAAAGGTATCCCGAATTCGTAGAGCAATAGAAATGGGTGCAAAGCGATAGGTACGAATTCGGGCCGCATGACCCCAATAGGACATAAAGGAGAGTGCGTGTGCCCCTGCCCAGGACTGGTGGGAAAGTGCTTGTGCACACATTTTACTAGCTCGACGCCTACAGACCCAGTTACTGGAAGAGGTAACAAAAGGGTCAGAAGTAAGGGCGCAGAGCGAAGTGAGGAGGGTGTTGTGCATAACAGAGAGCATGTTACTGACAGCCGAGACGGGTCGGACACAGGGACTAATCCAACGCCACTTGGACGTAATGTACGTATTGAGGAGATGCAGTTTTTTGCGCAGACTTGAGCCCGGACGACGAAGAATTTTGTAATATCCCCAAAAGGCGTTGTTCGTCATTGTGAGACGAGCAGCAAGGATTGTTTGAGAATTGAGGTCAAAACCCATGAGGACACCCAGAAATTTAAAAGACCTAACAGGTGGGATATTAAATTGACGGACTCTGAGAGGACGAGAGGGCAAGTCAGGGGAGACAATAAATTTACACTTATCAAGTGCGAGGGAAAGTCCAATCGACGCCAAAATGTCAAGAATTCCTTCGAGAAGACGGCAAGCCTGTTCATAGGACGTAGCAAGAAGAATTATATCGTCTGCATAAATCAAATTAAAGAGCTTGTGCGTGACACCGGACTCGTCAGTAGATCTAACCCAAGTGTTCTCGGAAATGTTCCATCTAGTATGGAGGAAACCTATGAAATAGTCCAAAGTACGGCTAAAAATCTCAGCACTATAGCTTGATCCTTGGAGCAACCCCCGAAATAATTTTTGACGCCAGGAAACGCCGGAGATCCCCAGAGAAACCTGCGAAGAAGTAATGATGCGAAGGAGGACAAGTGCTTCGAGGCTAGCTCCTCCAAGGGCTAGAAAACTAGCGATGGAGTCATGGGACAGGTGGTCAAACGCAGAAGAAACGTCGAGTTTAATTGCAATGAGTGGGAGTTTGTATTCCTGAGATAGGTGGATAAGATGTTGGAGACATACAGACCCGTCAAGGGTTTGGGACCCGGGGATACAGGCGATCTGGTTGCCAGAAACGGGTGGAAAAGACGGGCGCAAGCGAAAGAGGAGAATTTTTGTGAAAATTTTGGCAGGGGTGGATGATAAAACAATTGGGCGGAGGTCTTTAGGAGTGGAAGGGTTTTTGATTTTTGGAAGAAAGGTGAGTTTTGAAACGAGCCAAGTTTGGGGGATCTCAGTAACCTGGAAAAGTATGGCGTTGAAAAGGTCAACTAGATGATCCGCAAGTTGGGAGTGCATGACGGTAGTGAGGAACTCATATGAGATTCCATCATCTCCACATGATTTACCGGTCTTGGTAGTGGCAAGGACCTCAAGGATCTCAGTAGCAGTAATAAGAGGAGGTTTTGGGAAAGAGGAAACACGCTCAAGATACAAAGAAAGTGCAGAAACATTAGCGATCAGTGGATCAGATGGAGTATATTTCAACCGATAGAACTGTTTAAGGTCTGTCGTGGCTTTTGAAACTCCACCTGCGCGTGCAATGTAATTATTGTGCATGGTTAAAGTGTTCTGCCTTCTTTTGAAATACGCAATAGCCCCAAAGTCGCCTTGTGATCCCCGGTCGAGCAGGTTAGTAAGCCAAGCCTGTTTAGCCGCAGCACGAAGTCTAAGGATATCCTTCCCTAGGTTCCGAGCTTCCTGGCCTGAAAGCTGACGTCGCTGTTTGATAAGGGAGAGGACATGATCAGGGTCCTTGTGCCTATAGCTTTTGGGGCGATAAGAAACCGACTTGGCTAGGCCTTCAAGGTCCGAAATACTGAAGTCCTGTTTCCCCAAATCTAAGTGTTCAGCAAGAGCATCACAGGCTGGGAGGGCTTTCCGACCATCAACTCTCCAGAGACCACAACGAGTATGTTCACGTTGTGTCCGTTTGGGACGCGAAGCATATGGGTCTATCTGCTTGAAGGACACTGAAACTGCTCTATGATCCGAACCAAGAAGAAAGTCAGAGTTTAAGTGTACTCTATCTTGTAGAAGATCATTAGTGGGAGTAGAAACCAGAATAAAATCGATCTTAGACGAAGAACCTCTGCTATTACTCCAGGTATAATCCGTCGGATGCGTGGCATTAAAACCATGCTGTTGTATAATAGAACTGGCTAAAAACCCTCGTTCGTCTGAGGAATTCGGTTGGGACATGCTTTCGACTGCACCTAATTCATAATTAGTGTCATGCAAAATAATTACGGTGTCTTGCAGGCGACGATGTTGAAGGAGAGCATCAAGCTCAGATTGAAAAACTTGCCAAGTTTCAATACAGTCATGGCGTTGTTTGGAAGGAAGATGTGCACTAATTACGAAGGTGCGCACGGAGTGCTGTTTGAGAGTGACACAGATACCACAGCTTAGGGGAGTAACTTTCTCAACGGCAGCGAACAGTCTGGACGGAATTCCTACTGCAACTGCTCGAAAAGCAAGGGGAGGATTAGAGACAAAGAAGTTCCAAAGACCATCAAGGGTAGCTTCGGGATTATGCCAAGGTTGATTGAGGTCACTTTGACCCCCCAGTTCCTGAATTCCAATGAAATCCATGCCTGATAAAGAGAGCTCTGACCACGCCGTCTCAATGTCTTTGAGGTGCTTACCCTGAACATTCCAAGATGCATGTTCAGGGTAAGCACCTCAAAGACATTGAGACGGCGTGGTCAGAGCTCTCTTTATCACAGCGAGGGGTTAGGGTTTAGGGTTTAGGATTTAGGGCAGCCGTTTGCATGCTCAGCAGGTGACCCGGTCGACTAACCGTGAATGGACACAAACAACAGCGGCACGAGCAGTGCAACGCTTGCAGAGCCCTACATGAGCTCTTTCATAGCCCCCTCAATCCTAAAGGCGTTCGGCAAGAGGACTATACGGGTCGATTAAGGTCCAGGGGTTTGGGATCGAGATTATAAGGTAAGGGGCGTCGCACGGTTCGGAATACAAAGTGCTGCATGCTGTTCTCGCAAGTTGTCGCGTGTTCTAATTCTCTTTCTATACCCTAAACCCTACCACGCCCTAGACCGAAGTTCTAATTAGTAAGGCCCGTATATTACTTACAAACTGAGCAGGCAACAACCCTAAACCCGGAAAGTAGATCGGGAGAGACATGGCACCATCGCATCCGGCTAGGCGATACACCTTGGGTGGCTCACGAACAACGGGGCACCCTACTTAGGGATCCTTGTGGCAAGGATCCATCTCCGACGTTCTGAAACCTCTCAGTTCGAAAATGCTGGCTTAGGTGTAGGAGCACAAGCGGTCTATGAAGGAGTTGGGGAGGGTTTCCAAGTTCTTCACTAGCTTGTAGTATACACCTGAGAAAAACAAATGCCCTGACCCCTTAAAGCCTGGACCCTTTGGTCTACAACCGTGCACAATCACCCCTACAAGCCAATCCGTGGACAATCCCTTTGCCTTTCATCACGCGAGCCCTCAATCTAAGAACCCAGACCTTCCAAACTGCCTTAATTAAGGAAATTACCTTAAATCATAATAGGATCCCTAATATGATTTAGGGTATATTCCTTACTTAAATGATCTTGGAAGGTCTGGGAAGTCAGCCCTGAAACCTGATACCTACAGGTCTTGGGGTTGAGGCGCTTGAGAGTTCAACTTCCGGATTCTCGGGTTGGGAGATCTGGGTTTAGAGCTTAGGGTGAAAGGTGGTAGGGTTTGGGGCTCAATATCCCCGATGCATCCTGAAACCCCCACCAGACACAAAGCCTAACCGACAGTACTCGTTCGATACTCCGCTCTAGTAATCACAGCCAGGAGCCCTGGGAACAGTATACTACATGCAGAGGCTTCTACTTTGGGCTTGAGCTCTTAGCTGGGCCCTCCAGCTTCGTTCTTTCTGCGGCCTATGTACGATGATTTTTCTGGATACCTAATTACAGAAAAACCCTACTTTGAAGGGCACAGGGGGCACCTTGATGGATCGAATTCCGAACCCTAAACTCTTAAACCTCGAAGCCTTAAACGCCAAAACCCTGAACCACAATCCATCCGCAACCGTCGGATTTCGTGATTTCCCCCTCTGCCCTAAGCCATCGACTCTAGAAGCGGTTTAGGGTTTGGGGTTTCGGGTTAATGCGGGGGGCCTTGAGTATTAAAACAGGGTTCCTTCAAAAGGGTCTCTAGTGATCTGCCTATAATAGGGTTCTATGATCGAGGGGCCTCTATTATTGGAATAGGGTTTTCGGGCCCAGTATACTGTAATTACAGAAAGGAACCACCAACATAGCTATAGGTAGTTATTAAGGCCCCTGTGTTAACGGTTTCGACTCTAAATGCTCAGGAAGGGACCTGTGTCCGTCCATTGCTGCCCTCGTTGAGCACGACGTTGTATCCGAGGAGTTCCTGGGAAAGAAACATTGCTCAGGGCTCTTAGGGTTTAGGGTTTATATAGGGATATATACTACCATTATGGAGTTAGGTTGCAAGGGGCCATGCTTACTATGGTTTTAGGGACCTAGTTCCATCCTTTTTTGGGTTATCATATAGGACCCTACAATTGGGTAAACCAAACCACAATGGAGACAAAAGGGGCTTAAGTGTATCATGAGAAATCTATGTGGCACTTGTGCCCGGGGTGAGGATCTGTTACACCCCAACGTCTGAAACCCACGAGGCCTGAAACCAAAATACAACCTGCAAAGCCCAGAGCGCTAAAGCTTCCAAAGCCTCGAAGCCCCAAACGTGAAGACGAAGTTGATGCTCTATCTAAACCCTAAACCCTAAACCCTCGACCCCTTACATATATTTATGCCATCCTACGAAAATCCTCTCGCAACCCAAGTCATAAACCTCCCCAACCCCACAAGGGGGCTCTTAAGCCATAACAGCCACAAGGCCACTCCTTTAAAGGAGCCCCAAAAGCCTATTCTAATTATTCAGGCCCCTACATTAGAGTACCGTTATAGATCCCCTACAGTAGCCTTATAGTTCCCCTTTAAAGGAACCCTCTAGTACCCTTATAGATCCCCTACAGTAGCCTTGTAGTTCCCCTTTAAAGGAACCCTCTTCCACTCATGATTTGAGCTGGTCTCTGCCCGGCTCAGGGTTTAGGGTTGCCAAGGCTTGGAAGATCTCGGCTTTGGGGGTGAAGTCTTGGGGTTTAGGGAGTTTAGGGAGTTTAGGGGTTTAGGGGTTTAGGGAGTTTAGGGGTTTAGGGGTTTAGGGTTTAGGGGTTAGGGTTTAGGGAGTTTAGGGGTTTAGGGTTTCTTAGGGTTGGGGATTCAGCGACATAGGTTTGGAGCTTTTGCTTTGTTTTAATGGGGGGTCGGGGTTGCTTGTGTAGGGATTCAAGAGCACATCCCCAAGCCACAAAAAGCAACCCTTGAAGCCTGTAATTAAACCCAAAGACGAAGCAACATCATTTTGAACACTCCTAAAAACCTGCTACCACCCAAGCCCCTTCGCAGCTCGACTGGGGAGACAAAGCGGCGCTGACAAGGATAGCATAGAGCTCGCTAATGACCTGGCGACTCCATTTAGATCTTGCTTACGGATCGTGGGCTGCTTTTCCCGGTATCGCTACCACCAGCGTTGTTGCTGCTGCTCTTGTGGATGCGATCACTGCAGCGCCACTGCTCTGATTTGGGGCTCGTACGTCTGTGAGATGTGATGCTCTTCTGGCATCGCTGTTGCTGCTTCCCTAAGGCTCCATGTGCCCATATAGTATATACTTAGGCCCTAAAGTACCTAAAACGGGACCCCTTTAAGGCTTAAGCATCTACCGTAAGGGTACATGGAGCCTTTGGGCTTGCTGCTGCATAACGTCGGCTTGCGGTGTGCGGCTTCCGTGGGATATGCTCCGAAGTTTGAAGGGCTCCAGGCAGTTTAGGGTTAAGGGGGTCTAGACCTAAGAGCAACCTAGGAATAAAAGGGATGCCCTTTTTGGTTCAAAAAGGGGGTTAAAAGGGAACCTGAACCCTGAAAAAGGGAATAATGGCCTACTCTGGGTCCTAGGGGTTGAGAAATGAGGGCTTCAGGCTTTAGGGGAGTAATGCAGCCATTTTGGGAGGCCACATTTCGAAGCCCCGAGTCGATAGAAGCGAAGGACACTCGCATAAGGAGGTTTGTTTTTTTTTAAATAGCCTCTTTTCCGCCTGCAGGTACATGAGGAGGTTTAGGGTTTACGGTTCTGAATACTTCACTGACCTTGTGTTGTGTGCTTTGCCTCTGAGCCTCAATTCAATAAAACCGTGGCCGTGCGCGTAACCTATGGTTTCGGATGTCTAGCATGGGAACATAGCTGTAAGGCCAACTATGCCTAAACCCTGAACGACCCTAAACCCTAAACACGAAATACACCTAAACTCTGCGCCCTCGACTCTCTGATAGCTGTGTCTGGTCCACAGCGCATTAAGGCTGAGAGAGTTTGAAGTAACCGTGTCCCATCTCCAGCCCTCCGAATGTTAGGATGTATGTATGTATGCACGTTCATGTACGTATCTGCATGTGCATGTGCAGGTGTAAGTATATGGCGTGCATGCTGCATGCTGCATGTGTTTGTGTAGATACACAAGGAATAATATTGGCGTTGGCAATTATGCAGGCCCTTATGCATGCCCCGTGTTCAGCCTCACTGTTTCCAGGAATCTTGGTTCAGGGTTTAAGGGTTGTTGGGTTGCAGGTTAGGGTTTGGGGGTGAAGGATTAAGGATTTCTCGCCGCTCTGACAGAACCAGCTCGACTCATTCCAGCGGCGTTCCGCAAGTCCCCGCACAAACTGACCAGCTGTGCAACAAGAAGCAGGCCAGACAAGGCAGTGACAGTCTGCAGCTCCTTAACCCATACGGGTAACCCTAAACGGTCCTAAATCCTAAACCCTGACAGCCGTCAAAATCCCGAAGCCGGGAATTAAGCATGGTGAGGGCCTCTGCTGAATCCCAGCCATTGACCCACAGGCCGATGGGTCTAGAAACCCCATCCACTGTGACCTCTGCTGTGTTTCGTGCTTCGCTTCGGCGGCTGAACGCAAAACTGCTTGCCACGAAAATATACTATGGACAGGGAAAGGATCCGAAGGTTACAGATTTCAGTGAATGCAAGTAACTGGGCCTCAAGTGATATCTGCTTGGGAGTTTCAGAATGTGAGGGGACGGGAAGATAAAGCTGACATAGCAGGGTCTGTAATCCATACGGTACCCTTTGAAACACCACCATCTACGTCGCTTAAACGCACACCGCACGGAAGACTACGGTCAACCATCCTGAAATCATTTTCAATTTGCTTGATCTTGGTCCGCCTACGAAAACGGAGTTTCCGAAAATAGGGGATCCTAATATAGCACCTCAAATAGCAGGATCCTTGTTATAAGGATCCCAAAATAAGGTACCAATACTTTTAAATGTTCGAAATTTCCGGAAACTCCCAAATTCGTAGCTTGGGGCTATCGGAACACAGAGTCGAAGCAACCCCTGAAAGGACAATTGAGACTATAACTATTCCCACTCTGACGCTGTATATAAGCCCCTTGGACACCGAAAACCAATGGCGATAACTTGCCCTTGGTTTTATACTACAGCTGATACTGCAAGAATGCAAAGAACAGCTCATAAGGGTAATCCAGGACAAGGGGCATTCGTCCGAAAAGCCTCTTCGATTGCTGTTGGAAGGCATTGTCTCGCCGCCCAGGTTCCCTTCGCATGTCCGCTTTCACAAAGGCCCGAACTTACCCTAATGTGTTGGCCTTCTTAATAATTAGAACAGGGTTTGTTCGTGTGTGTGTGTGTGTGTGCCGCATAAGGGCTTAACTTAGTGTTTATAGGTTATTCATGGGGCCCTGAACAATCGGAATATGGCCTTGAAGGTTGCATGAATATATTTTCATCGGGACTATCAAGGGATATGATCACTGATTCTCCTGTAGACCTGCTACAAGCAGCCCCGTTTCCACGGGGTCAAGAGTTAACGGATTGAGCCTCAACCCTAGACCAGCAAAGAAAGCTTCGGGTCAACATCTCTGAATCCAAACTCGAACCCCGATCCCAAACCCTAAACCCTAAACCCGAAGCCCTAACCTCAAGCCCAAAACCCGAAACCCTCAACCCAAAGCCGATCCCGACAATCCGGTGCATTGAGGGCCTCAGGGCTTGGTGTCTACCATATTTCCATAGGGCCGCTGTAAACTTCATCCGTTCGGGAAAAAAAATGAGGACCTGCAAGTTACGTAGTCTATGGTACCCAAAGGCTCCATGTACCTTCATAGTATATACTTTGGTCTTAAAGTAGTCTCAATGTAGGTACTTTAAGGCCTAAATATATACTATATATGGGTACATGGAGCCTTAGGGGTAGTTTAAGGTAGGAACGTCAGGTTCGGGCTTTTGGGGCCCAGGGTAGGGTCAAGGGGGTGGGGTCTCGGGGGCGCGCTTCTTGCGGGGAGGGCAGGTGAGTGTGGAGTCTGGTGAGAAAGGGATTGGATCGTGTTTCAAATAAATGTAATCAAGCTCCTTTCTTAGTCGCATCAAGGTGGAAACATTAACCTCTTGAAGTATTTAGGGTGGAGATTTTGATTGAGGGTGCATAGGGCTTAGGCGAAAGTTCAGCCTCTAGACTGTGGGCTTTTAAGATCCCGAAGCCAGTGTGGGACGAGTCACAGTAACATCCCGTAACAGGATGAGCAGGAGCAGGGAAAAACCACAGTGCCATTTCATCATCTTGGCCGCGGCCCCATCGAAACCACGAGGAGCTAAGGGGAAGAGAGAACAGGGTAGGCCCGAGATGATGCGAACCTTAAAGCAAGTCTTGGGCTGTTTACGATTTAGGCTGGGCTTTCTGTGGGAAACAACTGAGCTAAATCTCGGGTATGCGTACATCGCCTAACACTGCAACGGCCCCTTCTGAGGGCAAAGCCCACTTGCACTAAACAGACCCTTGGAACACAACCCCCCTCCTCGGGGCCCGCAGCTGCGACAACGCGATCCGCTGGGTTTGAGCTACAGTTTAGGACTGTACCTGTAGGCTCATACCCTACCCCTTGTTTAGGATACCTAGGTTTATGGTTAGGGTCGGCTAAATAGAAAAGTAGATACCCAAAAGAAGGCGTAGGGTATGAGCCTGCAGGTATGGGTGTAAGCTTTAAGGATGAACTCAGTTTCTTGATAAGCCTCCTTAGGGTTTGAAAGATGGGGTCGAGACTATCAGACTATAAATTAGGGTACTATGTTAGGATCCCCCATTTTAAAGGGAACCTCCCATATAGGCCTTGTTAGGGTTTGAAGGAGAGGGTCGAGAGACTTTGGGCTCAGGTGGTGTGCCGTGCCGGGCGTGACCCAAACATCGTAAATGCACGGAGACCTTGAGGCCTATAAGACAGCCGCCTACTTGGAGGTTCATGGGACTTAGTAAGTACAGTTATAAGTACCTCAGCTGGGTTTATAAGTACTTATAAGTATAGTTACCCTATTTATAACCTTAGTTGCGAAGTCCAATGAACCTCCAAGTGCTGACGAGGGCATTGGGGTATGCTGATACAGCCCAATGAGAAACCCTCTCATTGTATGAGTAGTTTTTCAGGCTTCTATCTTTCCAGGCCTATACCTAAATACCGAACCCTAAACCCTAAACCCTAACCCTAAATACCGGCCGCGCCAAACTTGTAGTAGTGTAGTAATCATCCAGCTTGGCCTAAAGGGGCTCCTGCATCATGCCCAAAGGCTCCATGTACCTTCACAGTATATACTTTGGCCTTAAAGTAGTCTCTATCTCTATGTAGGTACTTTAAGGCCTAAGTATATACTATATGGGTACATGGAGCCTTAAGGATTACAGTAACTTGGCCAGTGTACAGACTCACTACACAGGCACTTAGGTTATACAGATATACCATACTTTTACAACAGCCCAAACACTCTGCAGAAATCCGGGGCGCGCGGGTTGGGCCTGGGACTTAAAGAATCCCTAAACCTAAACCTCTAAACCTCAAACCGTTCTGGGTGGCAGTCGTTCGTTCAGAAAGCTGAAGCTTTGGCTTTGGGCTCTTGGGTTTCGGGGCCTTCGACCTTCGTCATTTGCCGTTGTGGGGCTTTGAGGGCTTCATAGGGTTTAGGGTGTACAGTTTAGGGCTGAAAAGTAACAGTCAGTAACCCTATAGATCCCTTTAAAGGAACCCTTATAGATCCCCTTAAAGGAACCCTTATAGATCCCTTTAAAGGAAAGAAGACCTGAAGACCTTAAGCCGAACCCTACGGTGGTTACACTCTCAGCCCAGCAGCCCGGCGCAAGCGGCACCAACTTTCGTTTTGGCGAATCGAGCTGATTTTCTAAGCCCATAATATAATAATACGCGGGCCTCAGCGATTTTTGTGTGTTGCAAGGCATCATAAAACAGCAGAAGTACAATCATCACTCTATGCCTTCTGCTTGGCGGGGGCTTACGGTTTCGATGCAGGTGCTTTCGGTTTTCCCGCGCGGTCCATCGACGCAGCCGGCAGCTCTTGTCCCCATTCGGGGATGCCAGATCCGACTCAAATCTCGGCTTCTTCGGGGTTTGGGGTTTACTTGGAGGTTCATGGGACTTAGTAACTAGGGTTATCATTGTGGTAACTACACTTATATGTACCTATAATCCCAATTAGGGTACTTATAACTGTACTTACTAAGTCCCATGAACCTCCAGGCAGGGGTTCATGGTCTAAGGTTTAGGGGTGGTTTGCGGTCTTCAGTGCTATACTGTAGTTCCGGTACTGAGATAGCCGAAATATCATGCGAACCAATCAAGTATTAACCTTGAATGTAGGATATTGCAGATCCTCCAATCGTCCCTAAACATAGCACCAAGCTGGAACTGAGCAGCCTAAAAGCGTGAAGAGTGGGCTGGGGTGCAGGGTCGTGAATTTGAAGCAGACGCTGCCATTAACATCTAACTCATTATCAGGCACATGTGAGCACGGTCCTGTTTGAGGGAACATGCATAGTTTCTTATGTCTCTGCTCACCTAATCATGACTTCAAACTTCTTCTTTATCACACCCACAATGCCTCAGTCGAATCATGGGAACGACATGAAAACAGCGACTTGACCATCTAGAACCCGAAGGCACAGACAACAACACCCAAGGTCGAACCTTCAAGCTCCCTCATCAATCCTCAGCGGCAAACTCTTATCTATAAGTTCGACGTAGTTCCGATAAGACAAAAAACCTGCCTGGCATCACAAAGGTTTCTGGGTCTTTGGCAGGTCCCGTATGAATCTCTCCACTGGAAATGACGGATCCAAAACAGTTTGTAAGACTTGTTTGTAGTGTAGGCCCCTGGTTGATTATCCAGAATAAAGAATCTGGATATTCGGGTCTCTACTGCTGCTGCCTTGAACCCTTCTGCAACCCTACAGCCAATCTTAACATCTACACCACTTGCAGGGCATTCCCTATCCTGGTCTGTTTCCTAAAGTCTTATGACACACCCTGAAACCCTGATCCCCGCACTTAAATCCTCGTAAAACCCCGAGACCATCCTACAAGACCCTTATTTCGGGTTCGGGTTTAGACCCCCTGCAACCTATACATTAAACTCCTTACGAACGAAACACGACTAGTTACGATCAGGTTCAGTTAGGCCCACAACGAAACGGACCCTAAACCAACACCCTTGAACCCTAAGGCCTTAAGCCAAATTAAAACCTATTTAAGCCCTACAAAACCTGAGAGATCATGAACAAACCCTGTGCACCCTAAACCCCAGAACCCGAACGCCCCACTCCTTAAATCCAAAACCCCTACAAACTCTCAACCTAAAACCCTAAGGTTTGGAGCTTTGGATCGTTAGCCCTATATCCTAAACACTACCTATAGCCTTGTAGGATCCTTAATGTATAATTGGTTAAACCAACAAAGGAACTACAACGGACACTATAGGAAATTTGCGTTTAGAAACCCTAAACCCTAAACCCCTAATCCCTAAACCCTAAACCTAAACCCCTAAACCCCTAAACCCTAAACCTTTTGGACCCCAAACCCTTCTTAGGCGCGGGGAAGAGCCGCGAGCCGGAAAGCTCAGCGGAGTTGGCTCTTCACCTCATCCCCAACTCAAAGGATCTATAGGGTTCCTTAAAGGGATCTATAGGGTTTAGGGTCTACTTCAAAGGATCATGGGACTTAGTACCTAAGGTTATAGATAAGGTAACCATACTTACAATTATTTATAACCCCACTTAAGGTATCTATAACAATACTTACTAAGTCCGATGATCCTCCAAGAAAGGCTCCATGTACCCATAACAGGGTTCCTTTGCGGGTTCCTTTAGGGGGTCTATAAGGGTATCATAATGATTTAAGGTCTAGGGTTTAAGGCTCCATGTACCCATAATAGGGTTCCTTGAAGGGGTCCTTTAAAGGGTTCCTTTAAGGGTTCTACAAGGGTTCTATAGGGTTTAGGGTATAAGGCTCCATGGTACCCATATGGTATATACTTAAGTCTTAAAGTACCTGTGTAGGGACCCCTTTGAGGCTTAAGTACCTACTATAAAGGTACATGGAGCCTCTGGGGACAGCGAAGGCTTGAAACTCGTGTGGCGTAGTGTTTGAGGCCTTTTGCGCTTGTATGGCTCATTTGTTTGACGATGCTGCTTGAGTCCATAGACGCACTCATATGTTTTGTTTTCTGTGGAGCTCCTTTTTGCATCTGCTCCTAGATCGCACGCATATGCATGGTTTTGTTTTCAGGGTCCAGGGCTGTGCCCGGATGGAAGAAAGTGTTTAGGGCTCAAAATCGTGATGTAGAGTTGAGGATGCTGCAGGAGTTGGGGTTTCCGAAATGACGGGTACCTTATTTTGGGGTCCTCATATTAAGGATCCTACTAGTAGGGTACTATAGTAGGGCCTTAGGGTCCCCTAATTTCGGAAACTCCCAGTTATGGTACAGAGTTTAAGGGCCGTATTGGACTCCATGAGGATACTGGGTTTTACATGGGTTCTAAATATGGGCGACCGTATGGGTTCGATAAAGAAGGAGGTTTCTGATTTCGCTTCGTACATTTTGATTACTGAAGTGTGCGTTGCACGTGCGCAGGCTTCTATTATGGGATTGCTCAAGCACTCAAGGGATGATGAACCCTAAGCCCTAAACCATCCTAAACCCTTTCTTGACAGGGGGGCCGCAACCATCCTAAACCCCTAAATCCATAAACTCCCTTCTTGACCTTCAAGCCTAGGCCTGGACCCAAATATGAACCAAGGAATACGGTTGATGGTATAAATCCGGCGCTACTTTAAGGACCCTGAACTATGGGAATTATGGTATATTCCTCATTATGGGTAATGCAGGACTTATATCATCAACCGTATGGAAGTCTCTGGCTTTTCGGGTCCTTAGTTTGAGCCCCCGATCTCAATGCCTCGAGCCCTTGTCGTCTGCCACCTTACCCACCTAATCCCTAAACCCCAGACGCAGAATTACGCTTAGGGTTTAGGGATGTAGGGTCCGCAACCCTACCGGGCTACTTGAACTAAAGATAACACAACCAGAAGCAAAAATCCTGAAACAGCGGCGGTCAATTCCCACCTCGAGAGCCTCCCGCTCCTCTGCTGTCCAAAACGTCCTGAGCCGTGTCGTGGTGGGAGCGCAGGGAGGTTTTCACCCACCCCTAATTAGAATAGTACTGTCACTATAATAAGGAGCCCCCAAAACCCTATTCTAATTATTAACGCCCTACATGAGAGCCTGACATCCGAAACTCTGACACCTTCAACCTACCTTTGCTTACTAGGGAATGGAAGGATGGTAGTACTGGTAGTTATAATTGTAGCCCATTCTTCCATTCCCTACTAAACCAAGGTAAGCCACTGGACGAAGGATGCCTCAAACTGACGCGGAAGTATCGAGAAAACTCGAAGATTTTCCAGCCAAGGACTTGTGGCAGCAAGCAGCGAACTGGAAATCACTGGAAACACTAGATCTTCTCCCACTTACCTCTTTGTATCAGGAGGACATCCTACGCATCGTAAACCATCAGCTGTAAAAGCCTGAATAACTGCAGAAAATGTCCTGAGGCTTCGTGATTATGATACTACCATAGCATAATATACCATAGAACCCACTCCAATTAATTACCAAGGCCCCTCTCTAATATGGGAGTTTCCGAAACTAGGGGACCCTAATACAGTACCCTAAATAGTAGGATCCTTATTACAAGGACCCCCAAATTTAGTACCCCCATTTTCGGAAACTCTAAACCCTTATTAGAGCCCTTTAAAGGAACCGTTATAGTCCTCTTAGAGTATCCTTTCAAAGGAACCCTCAGGTCTCGGAAACTCCCATATGAGAATCTGCCAGGATCCCCGCCCTCCTTGCTCAGGCCCAAGCTTGCGGGGAGAGTTCTGCAGCTTCTCGAGCATGGCTGCCTTCTTTGCGCGTGCCGTCCTCGAGCTTGCTACTGCTACGGTTGATGGTATAAATCCTGTATTACCCAGAATAAGGAACATGCTATAATTCCCACAGTTTAGGGTCCTTAAGGTAATGCAGGATTTGTATCATCAACCGTATTGCTACAGCTAGTGCACTACTCTCACTCCTACTCCTAATGCTACTTCTGCTCCTGCTCATACTCCTGCCGCTACTACTACGATTGTTAGTACGAGCACTACTCCTTCTACTCCTGCTCCTACTCCTAATAATACTACGACTGCAGCTACGACTGCGACTCTACTACTACTTCTGCTGCTGCTGCTGTTGCTGCTGCTGCTACTACTACTACTACTACTACTACTACTACTACTACTACTACTACTACACTGCTGCTACTACTGTACGCTCTCAAACTTGCACTGCATTCGCGATCTCGGCTGCATAACCCTAAAGGTCCATGCTCCCAAATAGTATACACTTTTGCCTTAAAGTAGTCCCTGTATAGGTACTTCCAGGCCAGAGTATATGCTATTTGGGTACATGGACCCTTCGGGTAATGCCAGCTCTGGGAGATGGTGGAATGACAGGGTCGCAGCTTCAGCAAAGCACGGAGCTGAGAAATCTTTAGGGTTTCGGGTGTAGGGGCAACACGCCGAGGCTATGGGCAGAGAGTCTTAAGCTAAAGAAGCGCTGAACTCTGACAGTCCTCTCGAGGTCGTGCATGTGCTGAAGCCTGAATCTGTGGGTTTAGGGTTCCGGGCTTATGGTTAAAATTCAGCGAGAGATACCCTAAGCCTCGAACTTAGTTGGGTGTGCTTCTTTAGTAGCCTAAACTAGAATTCCCGTCGAGCCCTGACCCCCAATCCCGAAACACTGAAATCGTATAACCTCTTGATGCCTCGATATCCCCGTCCCGGCTTTGACCCTTTGCGTCTCCAATGTCCAAAAATCTGGCCATAGTAGGTCCAGTGCCCTGGGAATTTCTGTCAAGGTTCTATAAGCCTTGTATGCGGTTACCATAGGGACATAGGGGTCTAGGGTTTCGGGTGTTAAGACCCATATACCTACTGAGTAGACTTTTGTCGTTTGCAGGGGTTCCTATAAAGGTACTGTTTAGAGGCAACGTAGCTGTATGTACATGTGGATTAGGGCTTACGTATGCCGTCTTGTCCAAAGTCGTCTTTCCGCTGGCAATTCTTGGTGTTCGCAGGTTGTTGGAGGCTTAGGGTTTATTTGGAGGTTCTTGGAGGTTATAGTAACTAGGGTTCTAGAGAAGGTAACCAAACATGTTGTTATAGCCCCAACTGGGTTCTTAAACAAGCTAAGTCCCATTTTAGGGTTTAGTGCCCGAACATGGAAAGTCGGACCGAAGGTGCAGTAATCATCGAAACTCTGCCCCACATGCGCAAACCTATCAGAACGACTTTCAGCATGAGCGCAACCGATACCTGCCCGGCTCTCAGATCACGGATCTATATATATATATATAGAGAGAGAGAGAGAGAGAGAGAGAGAGAGTAATTGTATTTTACAGGTGCGCACACAAACATGGGAGTTTAAGGTTTGGGGTTGGGGTGACGCAAAGGTGTGAGTTGCCTGGGAGGCTCAACATCTAAGACTTTCCGGAAATAGGGGACCCTAATATTATAGTTCCCTAAATAGCAGGATCCCTATTTTAAGGACACCAAAATAAGGTACCCCTAATTTGCGGAAACTCTAAACCCTTATCAAGCCCTTTAAAGCGACCCCCCCTACAGTATCCCTTTTAAGGAACCCCAAGGTACCCCTAATTTTGAGAAACTCCCCTCTAAGCTCGGCACATCTCCTTTTTGGTCTGCTGTGGATCCCGCTTTGTCTGGCCAAGGCGACTTGGATTCGAGGGAAGAATAGGGTTCCTTTAAAAGGGATCTTCAAAAAGATCTATATATATATATATATATATATAGGGGATTATGCGGTTTAGAGAGCTTTATCTTCCCGGGTCTGAAGCTCGAGTAGAACCGAGATATGTCTTCCGAGGGCGAGGACCGACAACGTTTCTGCACAGACGGTTTCTCCAAATAAATAAAATGCTGGGAGTAGTAGGGTTCAGGGTTTAGGGTTTAGGGTTTAGGGGAGTTTTGAACCCGGCACCGGGCTGAGCATTTCATGAGAAAGCACAGCCGTGTCATGATCGTACGAACACAGCCAGTACAGAAACTAGACCAATGTCGGACCAACCGTACAAGGCCAACGCCAAGGCTGTATCTTTTAGAAGCTGCCCCCACCCCGTAATAGTGACTATAAGGAGTATATTAGGGCCCTAATATATTCCTATTATACCACTATTACAGGGTGGGGGCCCCTTCTAATGTATCTTGAAATTAGTGCATCCTTGAATCTTCTGCTTGGGACATCTTCGTTTTGGGCTTCCCGCCAGGTCCGGCTATGTGTGTATATATATATATACATACATACATTCTGTTAAAAGGCTGTATCTTGGGGCCGTATGTTGCTGTCATCTGAGAAGAGTTCCCGGAGGTATCTTACGACTTGTGGCCGGGTTTAGCGGTTGACTTCCACAAAACTGCTACAATCTGCCCCCTCATTTCCTCGATCTGAACCCTAAACCCTAAACCTTAAAACCCTAAACCCTAAAACCCTAAACCCTAAATTAAACCCTAAAGCCCTAAACCCTAAACCCTGATTGGGTTTCCACTGACCGAGCTCGGGTCTGAGGGGAATCGTCAGAGACTGGAGACTCAAGCTTCTGAGTGAGACGTTGAGTGGTTTGAAACCCAAAGGCTCCATGTACCTGTATAGTAGATACTTAAACCTTAAAAGGGGTCTCTGTACAGGTACTCTAAGGCATAACTATATACTATATGGGCACATGGAGCCTTAGGGAAAGGCATGGTCGTTGTTCTATTGCCAGACAATGTTCGTGTCGAAGGGTCATTATGATAGTTCATCCTGTGCGTGCGAGAGGCCTTGCCTTGATAGGGTCCGTACGAGCACCCTCCAAAACCTGCAGAACATTTTTTAAGGCCGAAGCATTCCAAATAGTAGGTGCACCTGCTTAAAGGATGATGGGCCTTAGTAGGTAGGGGTATAAGCAATTGCAAGTACAGTTGTATATATTTGCAAGCTTATTAAGTCCCATGGTCAACCTAAACCCTAAACCCTAAAACCCTAAACCCTAAAACCCTAAATTTAAACCCTAAACCCTAAACCCTAAAACCCTAAAATTCGAGTAGAGCCCGTAAGCGCAGAACTCTTTCAGCCGCTAGGAGTCGCTTTCGCAGGAGCTTGCTCTGGCTGGTGAAACGGCAGACCTTTGTCTATAACCTTGTAAGTTTGTTAGGAAACTACTTTAAGTTTAGTAGCCCATAATAGGGTTCCTTGAAGGGGTCCTTTAAAGGGTTCCTTCAAGGCTTCTACAAGGGTTCTATAGGGTTTAGGGGATAAGGCTCCATGGTGCCCATATAGTATATACTTAGGCCCTAAAGTACCTATATAGGGACCCCTTTGAGGCTTAAGTATCTACTATAAGGGTACATGGAGCCGTTGGGCTTGTAAGTCCCTAGGGCTCCACTTACCTAAAAAATTGGTTACTAACCATATATTTTGGACCCTGGTAACCTACTATTCACGTTACTGGAGCCCTAGGGAGCATAAAAACTACTTCAAAGGATAATCGGACTTAGTATGTCAGGCTAAGGATGGGGTAGCGCTAAGTGTAGTTTGTGAAAACACCAATTCAGGTACTTATTGACGTACCTACTGTTATTATGTCCAAGTATCCCCGTAAGCCCTAACCAATAAGCCGCGTACACCTCCACATAGCGGCCCTATTGGGTAGTACGATTCGGTAAGGGCTCGACTCTTAAGGATGCTTCGGATTCAAACAGGGTTTTCAATCTTGAGCTTCCAAGATTTAGTTGTGTATAGGTGCAGAGGGTTTGGGTTCGGTTCTTGGGCCTGCAGGCTAAAGAAAAGCATTTCGGGTTTAGAGTCTAGAGCTTGAGAAATTCACGATTTGATTTTGGGGCTTGAGCCATCCTTGTGCTCTCCGCTAAAGCCTAAACCGCCTGGGGATTCCCCTTTTTTGAGCCAAGGCTGCAGTGCATATGTCTGACCCTAAATTTTTAAATCTCATAACGGGGCCATACCTTTGATAATTATAATGCGGCCTTGGTGCATCTTATCGCATCGTTATCATCTGGCAGGTAAGGTTCGCAAGAAGTGAGGCTTCTATGTTCAATTCCTAACTACTTCATGCAGCCGTAGCCCTTAGGACCATCGCCGGTGTAATCTTTGCCACCGTCCTCGGTGTCGAAGCTGGGATGAGTGAGTAGGGTTTGGCATTTGGGGATTCATTACAACTGGTGTTCTTGCTACTTGTACACACAACTATGTATGTATGTATGCATGTATGTATGGTAGAAATGAATTGAACTGAATTGAACTGGGTTGGATGGATGGATCGATGTAGGCAGGTATGTAGGCATGTAGATATGTAGGTAAGTATGCATGTATGTATGCAAGTATTTATGTGTGCATTTACACACATGCACAGACGCACACACACACACACACACACACACACACACACACACACACACACACACACACACACACACACACACACACACACACACACACACACACTCGCGCGCGCGCGAGCGAACACACACACACACACACATACATATATATGTATACATATATATATATATATATATATATATGTATGTGTGTGTATGTGTATGTGTATATACATGTATATGTGTGTATATGCAGTATAATATACGTATGTATATACTTATATACATATGTTACTTTTGCATCGCTGTTACAACTCGAAATTCGTATGATTTAGCGGATATCGTGTCCAGGGAGGAGGGTATCAATATCTAGCAGATCTGAGAGCTCTGCTTCTTTGGGGTAGGAAGCATGACAATCTACGCGGGAATTTGTGCATTGCAGGGACCTGGTTGTATAGGGTCGACCGACCACCAAAATATTGGCAGCAGAAGTACGGAAACCGAGTGGTCCCCGAAGCAGGACTCCTACCACATAATTAAAGTCTATGTTAAAAACACCACCAACAAAAGTAGGATATGACTCAGACCTTTTTGTTTTAATCGTAGGGCCGAACCCTAAAACTCCCACACATAGTTAGTTGGGTAGAAGCCCCCCCCCCCAAAAAAAAAAATAGAAGGAATTTGAAGCCCCAGGTAGGCCAAAACTAATGTTGCGAAGGTCCTGGTCGAAGGCCCCTGCTTCGAACCCTGGATCAATTGAGAACCCTAAGAGTGCGTGTTTGAAGGGTTCCTTTCGCGGGTTGAAATTAGAGCTTACGGTTCACGGGTTTAAAGTCCATAAGAGAAGTCAGTTCCAAAATTAAAAGGTTTTGGGTGATCCAGACCGCCTCCTCGTCAAGAACCTCCGCTCTTCAAGGACAGAATCGGTGGGGTTCTTGCATTAGGGATACCAACTTCGAAAACGTACGGTTATTGCAAGGAAATTATTGCTATTGAGCATGATGTAGGTGTTTTAACGACTTGGACTCCCAAAAATACACGTATCATCAGATTTCCGTATTAATCTTCGCTCGAGGTACTTGCTTAACCAGCCGGACAAGATGCTACTGTAGGGGCCTGAAAAGTTACCTGTACTATTTTGGGGGTTCCTCATGATAATTACAGTATAATGGGCCGCCAAACCCTATTCTAATTATTAAGGCCCCTTCATTAAACCCGTGACACGAGAAACCTGCTGCCGCCCGGCGACGCACAACACTTCCGGAGCCAGCCGCTTCGACCCACCCATGAAGTGCAGCACTTGCAGGCCTGCTTCCAGACACTCCAATATCTGTTAATTAGGGAATATACCTAAAAAGAAATAAGTAGATAGAATATAGTAGAAGCCAGAAAGTTGGAACATGGCTTTAGGAGGACTAGTGCTAGGATCCCTTACACTGTACCTTAAGGGTATGAGGACAAGTATGTTCCAACTTTCTGGCTTCTACTGTAGGATCCCTAATATGATGTAACGAATATTTCTTTAATTAATTAAGGGATATTGGAGTCTCTGGGTTCGTTTTGTAAGTGCTGAGGGCTCACCTGCTCAACGCCTCTGAGGTTGTGGAGTTGGGTCCATCAAATTGACCCGAAACCCTGAACTCTTTGTGCACCTGTGTGCATGCATGTGTGGACTCGTGCCCTTAAGCCCAACTCCTAAACCCAATCTAGTGCCAGGTTTATGGTCCAAGGCTTCTGCCGATTGAGCTGTGCTCTTGGACTCGCCTTGTTTCTGGTCGGAACGTACCCAACTAGCCCTAAGAGTAACCTGGGAATAAAAAGGGTGCCCTTTTTGGTTTAAAGGGGTTTATAAGGCAACCTAAACCTTAAAAAAAAGGAATAAGGGCCTACTCTGGGTCCTAGCCAATTAGGCCCCCGTGGTAATTATGTGATGCTTGGTAGTCCGGCCCTTATGTGAACCTGACAGTCCCGAATCCTGGCCTTTCAGGTGTTGGTGCATTTGAGGGTTTTGGGTGTGAGGTGTGTGTTGAGGGGTTTAGGGGTTTAGGATTTAGGGGTGTCGGGTTTAGGGTATTAGAGGTTAGGGGTTTAGGGTTTAGGGTTTAGGGGTTTAGGATTTTGGGTTCTTTCGGGCTCCGGGGGTTGAGGTTTGGGTGACTTCATGCTTGGAGGGGATGTGGGTTCAGTCGAGCTGGGTGCTCTGGTTTTGCAGCTCCGCCCCTGCAGCTCTGAAGGCAAGAAAAACCGCAAACCTTAAATCAAATCCTAAACTCCGAAACCCTAAACCTTAAATCCTAAACTCCGAAGACCTTTTGCCTTTTTCCACAGGCTTGATTAGTGCTCGTCCGGCCAGAACCCCCAAGCACATCATCCTCCAAACTCCGAAACCCTTTTGCCTAAACCCTAAATCCCAAACCTTAAACCCTAAACTCCGAAACCCTAAACCTAGAAGGCCCGTAACCCTTGAACCGAAAAGTCCAGACCTCAACTTGGCCAGGAACCCTCGCACCTCAGATCCCTAAACCCTACTTGGAGGATCATGGGGCTTAGGAAGTAAGGTTGCAAGTACATTAAAGGGGGCTTTAAGTACAGGTATAAGTATAGCTACCCATTTACAACCCTAGTTTCTACGTCCCTCAACCTCCAAGCGAACCTAAATCCCCAAATTCCCTCACGCTAGGCCCTCAACTCTAAGAAGCCGAGAAACGGTCATCGTTCATTCCCAGTGTCTGGCGGTGTCGAGCTTCGCTGTTGGTTCAATTCTTGCTCAACGGGGTTTGTGGACGGACTTCAGTTTAGGGATTTGTTTTTGTGGATTTAGGGCTCAGGGTTTAGGCTTTAGGATTCAATTCTTGCTCAAGGTAGTTTGCAGATGGAACTCAGTTTAGGGTGTAGGGTTTTGGGGTTTTGAGAGCTTACAGGGGCTGAAATTGCGGATGGTGTTCTCGCAAGCCGCAAGACTTGACTTGCAGGTTTTGGGTGTCCAGTACAAGATTTTTGGACTAAGGTCAGGAGAGCCCTGTTAGTTCCAGTCCTGTCGGGTGCCTGATTCCAGGGTGCTGAATCAGCGCACAAGGATGTTGGAGTGTCCGGGGTGTGCATACCCTGCACCCTTGACAACAGCGCTTTCACGAATGACACTGCACCCTTAAATCCTAAGCCCCTGTGGCCGAGTAGGGTTCTTGACCCTACAGCCTAAACCTTGTTTCACATAGCGTTTCACAAGTCACTGACTCGGCGACCCGGGCCTTTTTTTTGTTTGTGGAGGGGGGGGGGGGCAAGAGACAAGTAAGAGCAGGAGTAAGGACAATCATGACACTATGGGTCCAGGCACGACCATAAACGAGTCACCTGCAAACGGAGACAACAATATACGAGCAGCCGCAAGTGTATCAAAGTGCGAATCACACGAGGCAAGATCATACGCATGAGCATCAAACCGTAGCCAGCAGAAACCAATATTAAAAACAGACACAAAACAATAACAACAGCAATAATGATATAGTAATGACAAGAATAACCGCAACAATAGCACGAATCATGACAATGATAACGATGGAAATATGAAAGCAACCACATTTCACGCACAACTTTCGCGGTTGCGGTTTAAATGCACACGACTACACCCTAAGCCCTACAGACATGGCATGACGAGCCGTCGAGGGACCCAGTTCTGGGAAAGGAACCACCCAGAGACTCCAATACCCCTTATATTATCAAGGAATATTCCTGAAGGTTTTTTTGTGTTTACGGGGTTCCTTGGAGGGATCTGTACGGGTTTCTATAAAAGAACTATGGAATGTCCCTTAAATCATGCTAGGGATCCTGCTAGAATGTAAGGGATTTCTTTCATTCTAGGGGATATTACGGGATGTTGGAGTCTCTGGGCAACCCTCTTGCAACGGGGCCTCGCCGCCCGGTCTTGTGCCATCCAACCCTAAACCCACAAACCCCACCACGGGATCCGAGAAGCTACCGTTCTAGGTGTTTTATATACCCTACGATGAAGGGTCATAACCCACTATTTTGTCGGGGTTTGGGGCTACAGGAAAGCCCTAAACTCTCAAGGAAGCAAAAAGCCTCCATGGTACGGTCACTGATCGGCTCGGATCCACAAGAACGAACCTTTCAAAAGGCTAGGGTGCAGGGTTACGGGAGGATTCCAAGCAGAAGGAAGCTTTCAAAGGGAAGTTAAGGGGTTCTACAAGGGTTTAAGGGATTAGGGTTCAGCAAGGCTCTCTTCGGGTTCTGGAGGTTGTATGAAGCTTGAAGAGTTTTTTGTGGATAAGCCCGGAGTGGGCAGCAATTCGGGACAATGACGGGGTAATATTACTGGCTGTTCCGACCTCTGTAGTAAGTTTAAGGCCAGGGCCGCCAACTCGTGAATAGCAGTACAATAGCCCAACTCCGAATAACCTTCAACCCAGAATCCAGCCTATGCAAGTCTAAGAAGTAAAGCCGACTACCCAAACCCTCAACCCCAAGACATGCGATGGACAGCCCGAGGTTCCCTCACAGTTTGGGGCACTTGGTTTCTAGAGAGTGATGCCGCCTAAAATCGGCACATGATCTAACCTCGCCGAATCGGCGCAGGGTTATTCTGCATTTTCCATTTGAATGTGGTGGGTCTCTCGAACTCGAAATATGTGCGGCGAAGTGGGTCTGAATTCTGAATCAGCATGCAAGCCTGGACGCCCTAATATTCAAGAGTGCTTAGAATTCCGCTGCAGATCCCGGACCTTGTGGCTGCCAGGTCCGCAGCTAATTAGATAGCTCGTCGTACTCTCAATACTCTCCCGGATAAGGAATCACGCCGACCAAGTGGCTGTGCAACCTCCCCGATTGTAGATGATGCCGCTCCTTGGCGGGTTCCAAGCCATGTTCTGGTATGCAACGCCGTCTTGCAGGTACTTCCTGGATAAGTACCCTGAGGCCAGCATCATCTCCCTCCCGCACTGGTAAGTGGGCCTTGAACCCAGAACTCTAAAATGAAGAGCCCTAAACCCTTCACGGCACCGGGCTGCTCGAGGGTCATGTGGCCCTTGACAACCTCCTTGCCAGAGCCTCGGTTGGCTCCCAAAATAGAGCCGAAGGCTTCGAAGGGCTTCTTGGAGGATCATGGGACTCAGAAGGGAAGGTTAAAATTCATGAGTACCTTAAAAAAGGTTAGAAGTAATAAATTGAAATGCAATTGAAGTTGTTGAAACCTAGTTGCTAAGCCGCATGATCGTTTCAGTTAAAGCTTCTGGGATGTTCATGGCTTAGTAATTTGGTGATGTTTCGGGGTTTGGAGTTGGAGGTTTTTAGTCGTTTTGAGAAGTTTTGGATTTCGTGGTTCACGGTGTAGGCGGCTTCGGGGACGGATCTGGGAGCTCTTTGGGCATACTTCCGTCGCAGTCAGATGCGTGGTAGGACCCGTGATCCCAAACCCTACAAAATAGTAGGTTATGACCCCTTGATTAGAAGGTCTGACCCCTAAAGCAGTAGGTTTTGGATCTGCAGGGACGCTGTAGTCTTCGTCTTCGATTGTAGGAGCTGCAACATGAACCATGATTCTCGTGGTCTCTGTCACTGTTGTTCTCGCCGGATAAAACATACCCGGCAAGAAATGTCTATAGAGGCCGTGGCCTGCCTTCAGCTTAACTGAAGGTACCTTCGTCGGTAGCGGATCTAAGTATACATGGGGGAGGGGAAGAGTTTGGATTTGTAGTGGTTGCTGGCTTGCAGGTCAGGGCTCAAACTTCAAATGTTTTGTGGCTTCTTAGAAAAACGTCGCTCAGATATCAGGATGGCGTATGAACTCACGTAAAGAAGGCACTTCCGGTGCTGCGAGTCATCGTCGTGTCAGCAGCAGTAGCAGTAGCAGTGGTCAACAGTCGTGTTGTTTTTGTGTTTTGTCCATCGCCTTCGTCACACATCGCAGCCTTGATGCTGCTAGTACTACATAGAGGGTGGTCGTAGCAGCAGTCGCCGTCGCCGCCATCATCGTCGTCACAAGGCGGAAGCAGCAGCAGGAGCAGGATCTGCACATTGAAAAATGTTGGTAGTTGAGGTTGTGGCAGTAGCCAGCAGGATGCGCAATACCAATATGAGTCGTATGCATTGACCGTAATTTGCACAGCATCGTCTTGATGCTGTCACCGTTGCTATGGCTCTCCATGCTCTCGTGGCGACGAGTATTCCTATGCCCTGTCAGCACATTGGCACGTGCCTGCCCTTCACGACTCCGTGTGAAGGCTGGCTTGGGCTGGGGGCTGGGGTTGACATATGCATAACAATGCTTATCATGAAAGAAGTGTTAATTTTGTTGCTACTGTTGCTCTGCCCATGCCGAGCCACTAAGCTCCAAAGTCCTAAACCCGACGTTTCAAAGCTGGAAAGACCCCATAACTCGTCTAACGTCTAAGGAGCCGCTCATGATGTCGTTGAGGCAGATCTGCTCGTTGCTGCTACATTCCTGATGCTCCAAGCCTCGCCAAGCAGAGGTCCGACAACGGTTTAGGGTTTAGGGTTTAGGGTTTGGGGCCAGTAGGATCACCGCATGGTGTTCATGTACCATTCCTTTCATCCGGTATGTGCATTATATTGCCTAGACTCCCCCTCAAAGGAAGCCTTAAAGGGACCCTAAACTGCAGACCCTAATTGACCTTAAAGGAGCCTTGAAAGGAGTCCTTTTATATATATATATATATATGTGTATATATATATATATATATATCCCTTAAAGGAGCCCTCAAAGGAACCCTTATATAGAACTAGATCTCTTAAAGGAGCCTTCGGAGTCCTGAGAAGCTCCCTGAAAGGAACCCTTACAGGCTCTATAGAACCCTCACAAGAACCCTTAGAGGAACCTTTTAAGGAGTCCTTATATAGATCGCTTGAAGGAGCCCTTAAAGGAACCCTTCTATTAACACTTGGCTGACTTCTGAACCCCTCCCAAGAGTTAAACTTTAGCCTCCTTACTATAGTCCATATAGAAACCCAAAAACTCAAAGTCTAAATCGCCAACCAGAAGAACGCCAAGAATATAGAACCCTTAAGCGAAACCCTTACAGTAGAAGCCAGAAAGTTGGAATATCATTATCGTAACCCCTTTAAGGTAAAATAATAGGGGATCCGACCATTAATCCATATTCCAACTTTCTGGAGTTCCCTTTTAAGCCTAAGGTTTGAGATACCACAGATTCGTTTTTCAAGGAGTCCTTTCATAGATCCCTTGAAGAGCCCTTAAAGGAACCCTTCTATTAATATAGAACCCTTGAGCGAACCCTTACAAGAGTCCTAGGAAAAAGGACCCTTAAAGGAGCCTTTAAGGAAGTCCTTACATAGATCCCTTTAAAAGGAGCCTTATATTTATATTAGAACCCTTAAGCGAACCCTTAAAGGAGTCGTAGGACGTTTTGCCCAAGCGTCCGATCTTCCAGGTGCGAAGGCCGCCGGGACCTTTCACGTGCGCTCGGAAGGTGTCCTGGCTCTGAGGGTTTTGGGGTTTAGGGTTTAGGGTCTAACTTTGGGGTTTTGGGGTTTAGGGTTTAGGGTCTAACTTTGGGGTTTTGGGGTTCAGGGTTTAGGGTCTAACTTTGGGGTTTTGGGGTCTAACTTTGGGGTTTTGGTTTAAGGCTCACGGCTTTGGGGTTTTTTTGGAGGATCCTATAAGGGTTACCTTTAAAGGGATCTATAAGGTTTCCTTTAAAGGGGTCTATACTGGTTTAGGGTTTTGGGCTCAGAGTCTAGGGTTTAGGGATTAGGCTTTAGGTTAGGCTTTGGGGTTTTTCGAGGGATCCTATTACGGGTTCCTTTAAAGGGATCTATATGGGTTTTAGGGGTTCAGGGTTTTTTGACGGGGTTCAGGGCTTGACAAGGTTTCATATGGGGTCTCATAGAGTTTTGCACGTCTTTTTGTAAAACTGGTCCGCGGACCTTAGGGTGATTTATTGGGGTTTAGGCTTCACGGGTTTTCGCGGGGTTTCGAGCTCAGGTTGTGCAGGGTGTTCGGGTTTGTAAACTCTCAGAGTTTCAGGGTGCAAGGATAACGGTGATCCGCGCCTAGTTAGCAATCCATGCGTACCATAAGCCCTACCTGGACCAAAAATAATCTACCTTTCTAAGGCCTTATATAAGGAGATCATAACAAGGAATCCAAAGTGGTCCGTTCTTTAGAGGTTTTACAAGGAACACAACAAGATCACAAGAAAGATAGGTTCTTTAAGGTTTTACTTCAATTCCTGTCGTTGCAGTACACACGAACCAGCATAGGTTCCTGACTGAGAAGGTGTGACGACGGAAAACTCAGGCCTCTAAGCACTCGGACGGCTGAGAGTGTGGATAACAGTCATAAGTGCATCATGTTTGGAGTTTAGGGGTTTTAACCAAACCCTAAACGGGAAACGGCAACTATGGGGTTGAGTTTCTCTGCTTCGCCTTCGATTCGCGGCAGAAGAATTGTGGCGATCACCCCATTCCCACGTAGCTATACAGTTTTCAGTATGTGCTTACCCATAGGCTCCTTGATAGTTCCTTTTAGGATTCTAGCTATGAACCCCGGAAAGGAACTACTACGGAACCTCTACGTAGACCAACTTAGCCATTACAACGAGCAGCTTTAACCGGTACGTAGATTGAATGGGTGGAATAGTTCCCGCAAACTGTTGCAGCTTTTAGCAGTTCCAGCACAGCTGTGCAAAGGAAGGGGAACGGTCTACAGCTTGGTGACTCGCATGCGCCTGGTGCTGGCTTGGCCTTCCCTGCAGTCCGGGGCGGGAGCACACCACCCCGAAAAACACTCAAAACCAGGCCGGTTCTTCCTGTCGTCTGAACAACAGCACCTGCTTTTCGCCAGGCTTCGGATAGCAGCCGTAGGTCGTTGGCGTGCACACAGGACCGAAGGGCTTTGGCTGGTCTTCCAGGGTTGGGCATGCCTGGCGCTGCACTGCATACCATCCAGCAGCACGACTTGTCCGCGAGCCGGCAGCCAGCTCGCTGGCATTTTCGGAAGCTGACGCAACCCGCCGGGGGGGTTAGCGGTTTAGGGTTTGGAAGAACGCAGATTCCAGGTTGAAGGGTTTGGGGACCCAATGGCTTAGGAATTTATGACCATACGGTTGACAGGCTCGTGTAAACAATGACGATGTTTGTCAAACGTTGGCTCTTCCGCTTCCAATGCTGCCTGGGAGCAGGTAGTGGACCAGGTTCTCTCTTGTCTGCTTAATAAAATACGGGTATCCTTTGTCCCGGCATTCAATGTTGATAAGGGAACCCTTAAAAAAGGGTAAGAGGGTAGTACTGGGGAACCTGGTAGAAGTGCCAGGTTGTTGGGGTCGGATACTACGTTGGCAAGGATGTGGCAGGGGCGGAAGAAACTAAACCCTAACCCCAACCTCAAAGCTAAATGTACCTTACCTTATCTTAAAACAAATATATGTATAATATGTATATATATATATATATGTGTGTGTGTGTGTTCTTGTTTATTTGTTTTTCAAGAAATGCATTTGTTAATTTCCATACATACATATACATTGAAGCCTTAGTGTATAGAAAGGCTTAAGTTCAGACTATAGAAACATAGAGCATTAGGGTACAGGAGACTTTCATGATTTGAGGCCAACAGGAGGGGGGTTAAGATTCTTGGGGTAGGGATTCCTTCTTATGAACCGTATTATGGGCACCCTAATCCCTACAAAACCCCCATAGGCTGAAACCCATTGTGGCCTCCTATGATTTCAGGAATTGAGCTTAAATTATAGTAGGATTATAATTTAATGTCTATTCCTTAATTAAAGGTTTTTGGAAGGTCTGGAAACTTTCAGGAATTGAGCCGTCCTGGAAAAGATGCCGCGTCCACGCAGAATTCCTCGCGGCAGCCGTTTAGGGGTTTAGGGTTTAGGGTTTAGGGGTTTAGGGTTTAAGGGTTTAGGGTTTAGGGTTTGGGGTTTAGGGTTTAGGGGTTCCGGGTTTAGGGGTTCCGGGTTTAGGGGAGGGTTTACCGTCTAGGAGTTTAGGGGGCCAGAAAGGAGCCCAGCCCGAACGACCCAAAGTTCCCGCTCACATTCTGGATCCCATTATTCAAGCTTGGAAATCAGTCCCTCACCCAATGCAACTGCCACACACCTGATGCAAACCCAGCGTCAAAACACTCGAGATGTGCAGATGGAAGCTGTCAACTTCTTGCACCCTAAATTTTTGAAAACATCAGCCTCGAACGGGCTTAGGCTGGTACAAAAGGGTCGTAACCCTGCTCTTGTCTATGGTGCCTAAGTTTCCAACAAAGTGTCAGCCCAGTGCATCCTGTATAGAAGAACATCTTGTAGGTTTTCTCGAGCAGAGGTTAAGGCATACCGACCCCTACATGCAAGGCAAATAAACCGCCACGGCCACAACACGAAGTCAACCCTGATCCCTGTAAAGACCCGTAGCCACTCTGGCCTTTGAAGCCCAGTTGCCGACATAGTCGGTTGCTGCGTTTGCCACCGTCTATGAAAGTGGCTGTTTGGCTATAAAGCTTAACGACCCACCATACAGGCAACTGGACTCCTATAGCAAACTGCACTTTGTCTACTGTCTGGTGGCCTGGTCATGAGGAAGCCTCCGTTGATGCGGTTCTCGCCATACTTCAGCCAGTCCTGGTTCCAAAAACAGCCGCGAGAGGAAGGGCCCCCTAGGCTTGAATGCGTCGCTACTATGGGGCTCATGGGAGCTAGTCCGTACAGTTATAAACACCTTGAGTGGGATTATAATTATGAGTTGTAAATATATTTATCTTATTTAGCGGCCCTAGCTTCTAATTAAGTCCCATGATCCTTTAAGTAGGGGTTTAAGATTCTTGGATTCAGTGTCCTTGGGTCTTCGTAGTTCGACAGCGTAGACTCTGGCGTCAGAAGAATAAACCCTACGCCCGCACGCAGTGTGCTTCGGGGCGCTTTGTTGGGCCGCTCTATATATACCTGCGTGTGTTTGCATCGGGAGCTCTGTTCTAGGTGAAAGTGTTCACTGTTGCCTGTTGCCTAAAACACCTAGCTCAAAATGTCTGAAAAAAGGGTACAAGTTATAGACATTAGACCGATTGAAAAACTTTGTGCGGTGTCCGCAACGTAGGATCTTAGAGCTACTTTCCACCGTGCCGGGATTAGCAGCGCCACCAGGACTGGTAATAGCAGCGGCCTTGCTGTGTTGGCTTTCCCGGCATGGCTTGGGGGTCACTCCAGCTATAAGCCTTTCGAGATTGGCGTAGTTAGAGGTTCATGGAACTTAGTAACTAGGGCTAACAATACGGTAACCTACACCTACAATTGCTTACAACGGCAAAAATACATGCACTTATAGGCACACTTGCCCAGAGACTCCAAAATCCCTTCGTTAAGGAATATTGCTTAAATCATACTAGGGATCCTACTCCTTTGATAATTACCAAAACTATCTAGTTGTAGTATAATATACCTCAAACCCTATTCTACTTATTAAGGCATTACCTGTGTTCGAAAAGACCTACCTTCTTTAAGGAACTCTTTACAGAAACCGTAATAAGGAATTAAGGAACCCTAAAAACGGTAGGTCTTTTCGGCTACAGGTAAGGCCCGCTACTGTGGTTTAGAGAGCTTTTTGCGCCGGAGGCTTACCCACAGTAGAAGGGTTCTATACGGGTTTATAGGGTTCCTTTACAGGGATCTCTAAGGTCCCCTATACGGGATCCACAAGGTTTAGGGTTTAGGGGGCTCCAATATCCCTTGAATATACGGTAAATTAGCCCCTATACTACTAGTGCCTGGGCGTGGGATGCACGCATTGAGTTTGGAATTTAATGTTTGCCTGTAGTCTCCAGTGTAATTGCTAGTTTGGGGTTAGATTACAAGACCCGAAATACAAGATTGGTTTGAGCAAGCAAGGAACTACGATGTAGGCTAGAGGTAGGGTGGCAGACTTATCACGAACCCTAAACCCTAATCCCCCTAAACCCTCAACCCAGTACAAGCAAGGCTGCAATTTCATGGTCCGTGGGCTTAGGCTTTAGATTCTGGGGTTGAGGGTTTAGGCCAGGAACCCCCGAGGGCCCTTTAATAGAGTCTTTATGGCCCTTAATAGTAGGTATTTAGGGTATGTTAGAGGGTAGTTGGGCGTCTAGGGGGGTTTAGGCAGTGGCTGTTTTTGGGGGTTTAGGGTTTAAGGTTTCAGGGTGTTGGGCTAGGATTCTTTCCCTCCCGCGGTGCAACGACGAGCCGGCTAGGTTTCATAAGGCTTTTGGGCAGGATTTCCCTAAACCCTAAACCCTAAAGCTCAAGAGGATGTCTCCCTTTCCCGCTCCTCGCTTGTCAGGAAGACATCGAGATTCCTGACCTCCGTGCAACAACATCCCAAACCCACCCAACTCAAAACACCGAAGTCTAAACACTAATCCTTTTTAGGGGTTTAAGGCAGTCGAGGGCTGAGGGCTTAGGGCTGAGGCCGAAACGCTAGGGGGTTAAGGCAGTCTAGGGCTTAGGGCTGAGGCCGAAACATTAGGGCTTAGGGCTGAGGCCCAAACACTAGGGGTTTAAGGCAGTCTAGGGCTTAGGGCTTTGGCCGAAACATTAGGGGTTTAAGGCAATCTAGGGCTTAGGGCTGAGGCCGAAACACTAGGGGTTTAAGGCAGTCTAGGGCTTAGTGCTGAGGAGAATGACTTCGAAGATCATGGTCAACGTCTCTCGGTTTAGGGTCCATGGTTCACTCCCATTTCGGGCTTTATACTTCATGGTGTATGTGAAAAGGGCCAGTCTTTAACCTCGACTTTACTCCAAAGCCTAAAGAGCAGGGAACCAAAAGCCGCTGCACGCCGGGATCGCTGAGACGTGGCGTGGTGTCGCCGGTGATTCGCCAGTTGAGCTCCGGTGACGGCTTGGCTCTCATGTGAACCCTGAATGAGGGGTCACGAGATGACCAAGCTTGGAAAAGACCTCCCACACGGCATTGTGGGCGACCTGCAGAAAATGGCATCCGGCGTACTGGCAGGCGTCGCTTAGCAGCTTCATGTAGGCCCGTCTCCGTTGGCTTGTAGCTTCCGCTGCCGACGCTGTATCGGGTGGCCTCCCCTTTCCCCAAGATCTCGGCCAAGGGCCGGATAGGGATGGCTAGGTCGGAGTCCGCCGGCAAGCGGATGGAACTGTTGCGAGCAGTAATCGGATGTTTCAGGCTGGTACGACACTGTGGAGCCCGCCTCCTGGACGATGCCCTCCTAGCCGTACACGAGATCTGTCCAGCTGACGACGGCTTCGCCCATGCCTATCCAGGCAAGGGTGCCGTCGTCCCCAGTCACCTTGAACGCCACTGAGTTCCTGAACCCTTAACCCTAAACCCCCTACATCAAAGCTCTCATTGCTTCGATTTCTATGTTCAGTCTCAAAGTCCTGGGGCTGCTAAAGCCACAGCTAACCCAGACCCTCCAAAATCCCTTAATTCTGGAATACACTTTAGATTGTAATAGGATCCCCGATATGATTTAAGGTATACTCCTTAATAAAAGCATTTTGGAAGGTCTGGGAAGGGCTTTCATAATTAGAACTTTAAAAACTTCCTGATAAAAGGGTTTATAAGGTCTAGACCTAAGAGTAACCTAGGAATAAAAAGGGCGCCCCTTTTTGGTTTAAAGGTGCTTATAATGGAACCGATGTAAATCCTAAAAAACGGGAATAAGGGCCTACTCTGGGTCCGAAGGGTTACTGTAAGGGTGATTATGGCGGGTTTGATGTAATGTAAGGTTAGAGCAGGGTTTAAGTATGGCTCGTGTCTCTGGCCTCCATCTGCTTTGCGATCTCGCCCAGGATGTTCCTGATTATTTTGGGCCTTAAGGTTTAGGCTCTAGAGTTGTAGGGCTCCGGCGCACAAGTTACAGGTTGAGGAAGTTTATGACACTGGCACTCGGACACTCCAGGCGAGGCAGGTTACACAGTCTTGAGGTTGGGGGTTCATGGGTGGTGCCGAGGCAGCACCTCGAATAGGGTGAAGCCCACAGTTTGAGACTTTATGGCACAGATGGGCGCACCAAGCCCCAACCTCGGAACTGTAGAACCCAAAGCCCTGACGACCGTGCAAAGAAAGGATCAGAGGGTGCTTCACGAGCGCGGCATCTGCGTCCAGCATGAGAACCTGTCCAACGAAAAGCTGCATGGGACGGGAGTCAGCAGCAGCAGCATCAGCAGCGGCAGAAGGAAGTAGTAGCAATACCAGGAGGAGGGGCAGCAGTAGCAACAGGAGAAACCCTTGCAGTCGGCCGTGGTGCTGGTGGTGGTGCTGGTGGTGGTGCTGGTGGTGGTGGTGGAATCCCAGGAAGTAGTAGTGGTAGTGGTCGTGGTAGTGGTAGTCGCAGCAGAAACGGTGATAGTAGTAGTAGTAGTAGTAGTAGTAGTAGTAGTAGTAGTAGTAGTAGTAGTAGTAGTAGTAGTAGTAGTAGTAGTAGTAGTAGTAGTAGTAGTAGTAGTAGTTCGTGGTTGCGGTTGTGGTAGTGGTAGTAGTAGTCTGGGTTTGAATTGAAGTAGCCAGGGAGAAAAAAGAATAGACCTTTAGTTCATAGTGGTTCCCTTTATGTACGAGGTCCCCCAAAAAACTATTCAAGTATGGTACTCCAAAGCCTAGTACTAGTAGTGGTAGTAGTAGTAGTTGTTGTTGTTGCTGTAGTTGTAGTAGTTGTAGTAGTAGTCGTAGTAGTAGTAGTAGTAGTAGTAGTAGTAGTAGTAGTAGTAGTAGTAGTAGCAGTGGTAGTGGTAGTGGTAGTGGTAGGGGTAGTGGTAGTGGTAGTGGTAGTGGTAGTGGTAGTGGTAGTGGTAGTGGTAGTAGTAGTAGTAGTAGTCGTCGTAGTCGTAGTCGTAGTCGTAGTCGTAGTCGTAGTAGTAGTAGTAGTAGTAGTACTACTACTACTACTACTCCTGCTACTACTGCTACTCCTACTGCTATAGCGCGAGCAATGTCACTAGCGATATTGCGAGTCCTAGTCCGGAGTCCCAGTACTGGTACAGGTACGAGTTCTAGGACTAGTGACAAGTTCGTAGTGCTGGTGCGAGCACGAGTACGACCAATAGCACCCGTACTCTTCTAACACTAGTGGTGGGTGCGGTAATTCATTCGCAGTGACACAAGTGGTTCGGGAGTACAGCAGCAGTAACGGTGCAACACCCAATGCAACCTAACTCGTGATAGCAGAAAGCAGATTAAGAAGAATAACCATCAGTAGCAGAAGCAATTCGTTATGACTGCGCTCTTCGTGAGAAGGACCGTGAATTCACATCGCAGCATCTGTCTCGTGCTAAGTGAGAATCAAATCACCAGCACCAGCAGCATCCGCATGATTTTCAACATCATCTTCATCAGTTATCCTCATCATCATCCCACCAATAATCAGTATCAGATGTGCGCAGTCCTCATTGCAAAAACCTGAGGGCCAATACTGAAGAAGCCACCATGACCAAGCCCAACTCTTCAGGGGCTGCTGCTGCAAATGACGAGAATAGCTAGATTAACTAGATTGTGCTGAAAGTTTTACGGTTACGAAGCGACAAACCGAAACCCTCAGACCCTACTGTAGGGGCCTTAATAATTGCACTAGGGATTTAGGGCCCAGTATGCTATATTGTGAGAAGGAACCCCCGAAATGGATGGGATAATGATGCAGGCCCCTTTACTACGTGGGAAAACTCAAGCCCAAAACACGCCCAGAGGGAGATCCCGGGCTCCGCTTCCACTATACGGCTTAGGGTTTAGGCTTCAGGGTTGGACTTAATAAATACAGCTATAAATACCTTAGCTGGTTAAGTAGGGATATCAGCAATTATAAGTATGGTTTCCTACCTCAACCTAAGTTAGTACGTCTTTGAGCAAGCATGCCCTAACCCTGAAACCACCCACACCCAAATCTTCTTCAAAGCATCAGAGCTGAGCCACGTGGGTGAAATTCTGTGGACTGGCCAGGTACTCCGAGAGCATCAGGTGCTTCTCCCAGTTGAAATTCTCACGTTCGTTGTTCTTGGTGCCTCATGGGGCCATCTTCTAACCTGACCCCTTTAAACCCCTAAGCCCTAAATTTAACTTTAAACCAAAATATAAGCCCTAAAGCCTCAAACCCCGACTCAAGAAACCGGTAGCACGTGGTGACTTTGCAGGTTGCTGCTCGAACATGATCCCGAGGGTCACAGCCGCTTGGAACTTGCGGGTGTGGGGTTGAGGGTTATTTGGGGAGTTCGATACTTACACGTACGTAGACCCTCAACTCGAAAAGCTTAGTGTAGGAAGTTTGGGCCTGCGTCTCTTGGTTTATAAAGTCCTACACCCTAAACCGTTTGATACTGTCGCTAGACGCTAGACCTCTGAGTGGATCAGGCTTCATGAGTCGCTGCCATTCCTCCCCGCGACGATCCTAAATCATATGGGAGTTTACGAAAATATGGGATCCTAATATAGTTCCCTGAATAGTAGGATCTTGATGATAAGGACCCCAAAATAAGGTACTCCTGATTTTCGGCAACTCCCATATGTATACCATGTGCTGTTCTGTGGCCAACACCAGGTGTATCGTTTGATTACGATATAGGGTAAACGTCACCGTCGAAGTATTGCTGAATGCATGGGAGGTTGGGTTGTGGTTGCCAGCGAGAAAGGAACCGAGAGGGGTTGGGAGTTTTCAAGCTCTGAATCCAAACTGTCGCAGGGTTGGCGCTGAAAAGGGAATGGTGCGCGCAACACAACATTCGACTCGAAGAGGTCGTATAAGGGCGTTGACAGCACGCGGTTTTGGGGGCTTACTGTACAGAGTATAGAACAACAATACAGACTATAATAGGATGCTAGTGATACTTGTCTCGTCGACACCTTCGAGGGCTGAGGTGGACCCGATCACCTGTCTTGAGCATATATTAAAAAAGCAACACTATCCCAGGAGTTAGTGCTTACGGCTTGAGGGTTTAAAGATGTTCGCCTGGGTAGCCTTATACCTGCTGCAGATACTCCCGGATGTGTTTCTTCGAGGAGCTGCGTCTTTTGCAGGCTCCAACCAAACTCGAAATCTATGCCGGAAAAAACAACTTCTCTGGGTTTCCTGCTTAGACTTGTTTTCCTGGTCTCTCAAAACCATCGACAGTTTCTCCCAGCGCAGGACAGATATGCGCTCTGATGGTGATATCCGTGTCACATCATTTATATAGGCAGCCCACATGCATCCTATCAACTCATATGTTGAGAACACGGTGGCCGCTCTCAAACCCCCCACACACACACACACAAATTGTCGAAGGTCCAGACCAAAATTGGAAATCCTAAGCCCCATACCTTACATAAGCCCAACCCCGAAACAGGGCAACTTTCTACTTGTGCCCGAGGTTCAAGTCCGCTCATCCACTTTCGACCCACACTGACGCCGCTGCCATTTCGTGAGCTGGGGATGTGTCGGATGCCACCTCTCCGGACGGTTTCTGCGACTGAGAGCCCTCAACCCTGAACTGATGTCCTTCCAAAGCCAATAATAAGCTACCCTATAATGGGCTATGTAATGGGTAAATAATAGCAATATGAAGGATATATATACCTAGGGGTCCTTATTAAGGGTCCTTCCTTTAGTATACAGGACAGCAAAGTCTGAACGCGCCCGAAAAATCCGAGCTGACACGTATGCAGCCAGGAAAGCGATAGACTCAGTCACGACCCCGGGCCCTAAACCACCGAGCCCCTCAAACCCTAAACCTCTAACCCTCTAAAACACTAAACCCCTTCTTGCTCTAGGCTTGCTCCCTAAACCCTGAATCCCTGATGCTGTCAAGTCCTATTCTGGCGGGCCCAGGTTCGGAGTCGAGAATCCTAAGCAGTTCATCTCCAAGTTAGGCTTTAGGGTTTAGGTCCTAACCAGCTAATATCGAAGCGCGACAAAGTTGCGGCTTTTTGGGCAGGGATCGTGTTTAGGGTTTAGGGTTGGGATAGGAATATCCTGTACAAAGCCCCTTGTAACGAAGCCCCACAAGGAGGGATACCTGAAAATGCTTATGCTTATGTCACACTTATGTCTCTTTTGGATCCCTAATCATACGTGCCTATTGTATCTATTGCATGTTCCTGCGCTTTTGCTATAGCGACTCGTAGTGACGACGTGATTGTTGCATTTGTTATCTGTGACGGTGCCATGCGGTACCTGTTCCCGTTGTTGCCTGTGCTTTGCACTTCAAAACTGCCTGTGCTTGCTGGTGCATTGTGCGATTGAGTTCTAGACAAAAGCCATTCTATAAAGTAACCTATTTGTGCTACCTACCTTCATCCTACCTCTGGACCGACTTCGTGTTCCTCCATGTATCGAGTGCTGCTTCGCCGTCCCACACTATATCTTGGGTACTGCCGCCACCCTGTAACAGTCTATGTTAGGGGTCATGTTAAGGGCCATAATCCAAGTGTTGCAGAGTGGGGGCAGTACCCAAAGTATGTCAGAACCTATTCTGTGGCAAAATCATTGACACTGCCTGCTGACGTGTTCACTGCGACTCGCACAGCATATACCCCAAACCCTACCCCCCTCCCCCCAACCCTAAACCCCAAACCGCATACACACATATATGTATGTATATGCACATATCTTCCAAGCTTGTGTATATGTGTAGACATTTTCGGCATTTCCTGGCATTCAGAGGTGTCCGCTGCTTAATTAACAGATGCAAGATTCCCTGAGCGGTCTGTACGGTGCCGCTACGGGATGTGCCCAGAACTTCTCAGGGGCTCTGACCTCTGGCCTTTGCTTCTTTACAACGCAGGCCCAAGCCTCCCTGAGTACGGCGGGCAACAACGACAACGGGTTTCTGAGCACGGCAGAGTTCAAAAGTTCACCCCTACCACGATTCCACTCTGCTTCCCAGTTGTCTGGCAGGATAAACAGTGAACTTTCCAGGGTCCCGTGCTCGTCCTCGTTGGTTTGGTTACCAGAGGACAGGTAGTCGTTGACGGTGGCATGCCATTCTAGGCCTGCCGCTTGTCGGTGGAACTGCTGTCTTTTCAGGAGACTGTTGTCCCCCAGTAGCTCCTCCGCTTCCTGGCAGCACACTCTATCGCATCCTTCCCTGACAGAGCGGACAATGTGATCGAACTCCTGCTCGCTCCATTGTGCCAAATCCCTGTCGGCATTGATCTCCTCGACCTCGCTGATCAGGGTCTCAATGACTTGTCGGATCTCGTCAGGGTAGAGTGGCTGTTTCCGTAGTTCAGTGGAAACGACGTCATCGAGGTCTTCGTCACCCTGGCCGTCCAGGATGGTCTCTGAAAGTCCCCGATAAAGAGCTCGTTGCCATTGGTTCCACTGTGCTTCCTCTGACTCCTTCAGAGGGCCGTCCACCCGGGTGGGCGCCGCTGGCGTGTAGTTGGCCGTCTCGTTCTGGCGCCGCTTGGTGCTTCCATAGCCAGGTGGGATCGTCTGTTGCGGCTTGTAGTCCCGGCGCAACACTCGGACACACTTGTTGGAGTAGCGGAGGTGATCCTCCAATCGGCCCATCGTCCAGAATTCCTTGTTGCAAGCCTTGCACCTGCTGCCATCAAGGAACTCCCGGTATTCAGCATGCCGACCATGGGTTTTGAAGAAGTGGACTCCCAACCCGGATCTTTTGGCAAACTTCTTCTGGCAGATAGGGCAACTCCATGTCTCCTTGGCAAGGAGGCTCGACGTTGGCGGGGCAATCGTCCTGTAGAGGCTCCATAAGCAAACCAGGACCGCCGATTCCTCCTGGAACACTATGAAATCCTCAGCATTCCGCTTTGCCACCCGACGCTTCACTCGGTCCGGCTGTTGCTTCAGTAGATGCCACCATTGTGGCCATGCGTGGTGACCTATTTCGGGCCAGCGCTCTGTATCGTCATGCACCAGCCACCGTAGGTCAGCGCAAACCGTCGTACACCACGTCGCCTCATTCTGTAGCATGGCCCAGAGCAACGGGGGGCCCGACCGAACCATTGAGATCAATGCCGAAATCCTCGACCTCCGTGCAAAGTAGTCGAGTGGCCAGCATCCGGTTGCCCAGTGGGCAAGTGGCAATGGGATCTTGTAGAGGCTGTCGTCCGTAATTGTTCGGCAAAGGAGTCGACGGACTAGTCTGGAGAAGTTGTCGCACATGGTGTCCCAACTGGGTCCCTTCGGCACCCATATCTCCAGGTTGAAGTACGTGGAGACCACAGCACTGCGGAACAGAGAGACCCGAGTCTCAAGACCCAGGTCTCGGTTGTGCAAGAGCAAGTCCTTGGCACTGTCATAAGCTGCAGCAGCCATTGCTGTTCGAAAGCGCTGCTCCTGTCTGAGTGCCACTTGAGGGTCCAGCTGAGCACCTAGGTGCTTGTATACTGGGACCACATGTACACTTTCATCCAGGTCCGGGAGATGGATCATCGGCTTGCCACTCCCAAACACCTGCTTGCGCACCGCTGTCGCTCCGCGGCCACAAAGTCGTAATAACACACTTGTTTTGTTGCGCTTCAGGTTTGGGTCCAGACCGTGGGTTCGGAAGGCTGTGAGGACCACACTGGTGACACGACGAACACACAGGATGAGGCCCGGCGAGTCCTCCTCCTCCATCACATAGGCGGTATCATCTGCCCATGTGGTATCCCACATTGGTTCACATGGACCCTCAGGGTGGGTGGCAAACGGGCCTCCCTCTTGGTCATGCGGTAAGGCCCCATTGATGTCTTCTCCGATCAAAATCTCGTGGACCCGGTGCAAGATTCGTGTGTACAAGAATGCGAACACACAATCCGCCCATGAAGCTCCCGGGCGGGATCCTGCAACTGAATGGCATAGATTGCCACCGTCCGTATATTTTGAGGCAAACCATGTGTAGCGATGGAAATCCTGCACTGCCGCCTGCACCGGCTCTGGAGTTCCAGCCTGGCGTAGCATGCCTCCATCTCGGATGAGGTCCCTCATTTCGGAGATGTCATTGCCATCCAACCCAAACTTGTAGAAGAGCTCCTCAACAGACCGGTCTTGTTGGAGATCTCCGACCACTAGATCCCGGACCAATCTGTAGTATGCGCTGCGCGTGTCAATGAATAACACCGCAGCCGGCTTTTTCAACCTAGCACATCTCCTGAGGTGACTCGTGACATAAAGCGAGGGGAAGCTGATAGGCATACCTCGACGGGTTCCACAGTGCAGCGGGTGCAAGGAAGCATCGATCTCCCCGTCAACCTTCTGCCGCATTGCGAAGTGTAGGACTTTGGCCGGGAAGCTGGAGATATACAAACTCCTGTAGTTTTCCGCAAGGCACTTCTGGCCACTGTTCTTGTAGGACTCAAACAATACTCCTCCACGCCATTGCAGAGGTTGTCTGCCGACAATCAGTGTTTTGAGATAGAGTGCATGCATGAGCCGGGTGATCTCAGCAGGGCAGGCACACATCACATCACTGGGGATTTGATCCAAACCAGCAGCCTTACCAGGCTTCATCTCCCTCATGACTTTCTCCAAGTCCCGGGCTGATGGTAGAAGATGCCATTCCCAGTCGCCACAGTTGGATTCTCTCCAGTCCGCCACTTCCGCGACAAAGTCTCTGGTTGTTTTGATGGTGCCCTCCTCCTGCGCTCCGAAGTAGTGCAGCCAAATCTCATCTCGGTCTGCAGTACAGGTCGCCTCATTGCCCGTGGTCGGGCTGAGCAGCTTCGGTAGTTCGCGGCAGTAGGGCTTCCTCGCCTTCGAACCAATTCCCGCTCTCTTGGCTCGCTGCATGATCGCTCCCACATTTTGGTGGCCCTCCGCAGCCACACTTCGTAGGAACTTATCCTTCGCCTTGGCAATACCATCCTTAACACGGTGGGTTGCATAACGGATAGCCGCCGCGATCAGTTCATACAGTACGTGTCGCTTCCGCATCCACGGCCCCAAGCTAAACACTGTACCTGCTTTCCATGCTCGCCACGCCTCAGGGAGGTTTCGATGGTGGTCAGCCCGGCGATAGCTGGTTCTGCCTCGGAGCCGGTTCTTTTGTTGGCGAAGCTCCCAGATCTCGTCAGGGATATAGGATGCATGGCAGCCAACCTTCTCAACCGCGAAGTTTTCCTTCAAGGTGTCCAGCAAATGTTCCTGTACACGTTGATAATGTTCATCAGGATGAGTGTCCCATGTCGGTTGCTCGAATCTCTTACAGGCAGCTGCCAGCAATTTTCTGCCTTCAGCAGATCGGATCTTATCACCATCAAACCTCAAACGTTGCAGCCTAGGTCGTTGTCGACCCTGTTCCAACTTACCAACCACCTCCAGGCAGATAGCTCTGTGATCGTCATTGGGGCTGCCATTGTCCAAGGCTGCACTGACATAGCTCTTGGTAGCATCGATCACCGCCTTGCCGCCAATGAACAGGTAGTCAATGCGGCTTTCCCCTCCTAGGGGGTGATGATATGTCCAAGGGCTGCCCTTATGTAGGGCCGAGAACATCGATGGTGCCCATACACCATTCTCCCATAGAAGGCGGGCACACATTTGTCCTGTACGGTCTGGTTCTTCGCACTCATAGTCCCCACTGACCTGCTGGTAGTCAGCCGGGATCTTTCCGTTTAAGTCCACACCACAAACCACGAGGTGGTACTTCTTCATCTGGGCCAGGACTCCACCAAACAGCTCGAGGAATTGGTCGCGTTCCTGTGGGCGCCCGGCATGCGGGCAATGCGCTGAAACAAACCCTAGACAGATGCCATCGAGCGCGACTCGTAGTGCCAACATCCGTGGGGACTCGTGTACCACAGTAATATTAGCCTCGTCAGGGGCGACACCTTGGTTGTTGCGCTCGATGAATCCACCTTGTTTGCGAAGCCAAACCGCCACTCCCCAATGGCGGCATCCATCGGTGGACAATCGGAGGTACCGGCGGCTGGAACAGATTCCGCCTGGTTGTTTGGTCTCTTGCAAGAAGACCAGACCATAGCCTTCTCGTTCACATTGTTCTTCAATGTAGCGGGCATGGTTGCCCAGGCCTTGTAGATTGAAAGAACAAGCAGAAAGCCTGAACTCCACATCACCTTTCACATCATGGACACCAACCGTAGGTATCAGCTGCTATGGTGTGATCCCCGACCTCGGCAAAGGTTCATCACTCCAACTGATTCCCCCACGGTCCACATTGAGGGCCCCCGTCTTCATCGCCGAGAGCTGTAAACCGGCCCATGTGAGGTTAGTGCCCAGGAATGCAGCTACCACATCTGCAGGGGGGGTGGCAAACTGCTTGCTACCCTTCATGGCAGCCTTGGCAATGGAGTCAGCCAACTCGTTCCACTCGTGGCCGGAGTGGCCCTTGACGTGCTGGGTTTGTAGATTCACCCCAGGCAGTTCTTGCATCAGCAATTCCAGATCACGTGTCTGTGACCCCATGAAATTCATAGGATCCCAGGTTCCAGTCGCAGCATGTCCAGCTGCCATACAGTCGATGTGGATGAAACTGGACAGATGCGGTATCACCGCTCGCATCTGAAGCACCCATAACATCGCCGTAGCCAAGGCCACCTGTTCTGCGTGTAGGGCTAGATGTTCTCCAGCTGTCCATCCCGACACTTCATTGCCCATCAGCTGTTCACCAAGTAAACCCAGGATAGCCACTGCCATTCCCATACGGAACAGCACCACCACCGCATAACCACTCTGCCGCAATGTTTCATTGGCAGATCCGTCGGTGTATAAGTGGAACTCACCTTGTCCCTGGGCTGCATATGGCAACAAATCGGCCCAATGCACTGATTCCTTCACCGCTGTAGCCGCGTTGGGGTGCAACTGGACACCCTCCAGGCAGCACTGCATCCACTTCGGGTCCCACGGGCACAACATGGGCCAGAGCTGGCTCAATGTGTGCGGCCATGGAAGAGTGTTCTTAGTGAGGTCATACACCTGGAGGTTCTGGTGAAGCTCCTCGTGCAGGCTGATGGTTTGTGGCTGTCGCCCGTGCCTTCGGTTGTCTCTTCTCGGTGACCTGCTTCGATCGGGTGGCGCATTTACCGGGGTTGGTGGCGGTGGTCCACGTGGAGGTTCTCCCGGTTCTGGTGGCGGGGCGTCCGGGTCCGAGCTCGGTAGGTTGTTCATACCGTCCGAGCTATCGTCGTCACTATCCGACTCTTCACCTTGTTCACTTTGTCCTTCCTCGGATCTTGGGCTCGGCTCGGCAAGTTCAAGGTGAAATGTCAGGAGTTCGCCATCATGAACTCGGATGTGGTTGTCCTCCCCCATTGGGTCTCCGCCTGTGACCACAAACTGCCACCCCTCCATGTTTGGGAACTGGATGTCTTCCAGGTAGGCCTAAGGGTCGAAACTATCCCCATATATCGCCATCCATTGTGGAAAGAACGCCAGGCCGCGGAGGTCAAGGAAGGCCATGGTCACTCCAAGTCGAGGGGTGTTGGACTCCTCGACAATGGCAATAAGATTGTGCACCTGTTTGCCCCCATGGGCCAGGTGCTGGGGCACAGTCGCCGGAACCATAGCCCAGCTGTTCTCCTCAAGGCCAAGTTCTTCTATTCCCGCCTCAAGATGGAAGCCATCATCTTCCTCGCCATTGACCGGGACAATGATTTGCTCAGAGGCTCCCTGGTAAATACAATGCCTTCCAGGAAGTGGGCCAGGTTGGTCTGTGTCCGGTCGCCATCTTCTCTCATCCTGTAGTCTTTCATCGATGTCGCTTGCCCATTCACACGGGACTCCTCGAGGCAGCACTTGAACAGTGCCCCCCATGATAGGCTCGCGTCTATCAAGATCTCCCAGAGGCTGAAGCTGCCCAAATAGGAACACCTCCAGTTCAGCTACATCATCGAATGTGTAGACATACACATATACATAAATAACTCCCCGAGGGACAGCATCAGCCCAGCAGCGCGCCTTAAAACCACAGCATGTCCGTGCTGCCGAGCATGGAAACCTGACGGAGGCTGGAGATTCCTAGACCCCCCCCCCCCGCAATGGCGCTTTAGTATAGCCCTTATGGTCCTCAATAGTGGGTACCTACGGCTTATGAGAGGGTAGTTGGGGGGTCTAATAGGGGAGCAATGGCGCTTTAATATAGCCCTTGTGGTCCTTTATAGTGGGTATTTACGGCTTATTGGAGGGTAGTTGGGGGGTTTAATAGGGGATTGCTGAACCCTAAACTCTCTAGGTTTACGCTCTCAACACGGACTATAGAGTTTAGGGTTCAGGGTCTAGAAACCCCGATCTGATCTATAGACACAACGCTGGAAATCCTATAAGTCTTGCAAGCCCTAAGTCGTAAACAAAAATGTTGTGCTTTGGGCCTACCTTAACCCCCAATAACCTACCTTTTTTCAGGACTTATATAAAGAAATCATATTAGGGAACCCTAAAAAGGTAGGTTTCTTACCCTAAGGCTCAAAATAGCCCAAAAGCCTTACATAGTATGGTCTTTGGGCCCAAAAGCCTTAAAATATGAGTCCTTAGAGCCTAAGGAATAGGGTCCATGTAAGGCCTACCTTGAGGGTGTGCCGGTGCTGGGCGAAGGCAAGGCAGCCCAAAGCCGAAAACTCTGGTTTCGACTCGCACACTCGCTGACGCAGGCACTGCTTCTCTTACCTTCGGTTTGTAGGGAATGGAGGAATGGGGTACAATTATAACTACTATTACTACCATTCTTCCATTCCCTACTAACCCAAGGTAAGTTCTGAGGTCAGGGTTTTAGGGGCCTCAATAGGGGTTTATGTTTTACGGAGACTCCAAAACCCGTAAATGAGGGTTTAGGGTTTTAGGGGTTTGAGGATTGAAAGGGTTTAGGGGCCTTTTTTTGCATCCGGGCTTGGGAAGTAGGTTTAGGGGCCTTAGTAATACAAGTAACGAAAAACAGGAATAGCAAGCATGGTGGCAATAAGCACAACAACACTAATACTAACAGTACTAACAAGAAGAAGTTTTAAGGTTCCGAAAAAAGGGTATAACGGATTCGTTGCAGTTCATAAGGCTGCCATAATGATTGGAATAGGGTCCCTTGCTTTTGGGTGTTCTAAAGACGGCTTACTAGAAGAAGTGATTATTTAGTCACGACTTTAGGGTTTAGAGTATACAGCCATGTATGGTTAGCTCAAGGAATAGTACTTACCTGTGGCGCCAAACCCTACAAAATATATAGCAGGTTATGACCCCATAATTAGAGAGTCGAACCCGTAAAACGGTAGGTTTTTGAATCCCCAGGTAAGCCCGAAACCCTAAAACCCCAAAGCCTACAGACCCCCTTATAGGAACCCTTAAAGGAGCCTTTCTAGATCCCCAGGTAGTACTGCTACAGTATGCAGGCCACCAGTTGGTGAACGGGACCAACTTTGGAACCCCTCCGAAATGGGAGTTTCCGAAAATAAAGGACCCTCATATAGTACCTTAAATAGTAGGACCCTTATTATAAGGACCCCAAGATCAGGTACCCCTAATTTTCGGAAACTCCACTCCGTTATACTTCTAATTTTACAGGGACGCAATTGTGATTGCAAGGGAACCATATTACGAATTCTTTAAGCGTGGATATTAACTTGTAGGTTAAAGGCTCCGGCTACCTCAACCGTACGCAACACGAGAGCAATGGTCATTACAATCACACCAACAGCAATGACACCACTCATCGTTTTCATTGAGCGGAATTACGATTGCACCTGCATGTGACTTCAGAGGAGGTCTTGGGGCAACAGGCTTCTGGCACGTAGTTGATGTCGCTAAAACCGCCATTTGACCCCAGGCTCTGCCGATCAGCTGCAAAAAGCACTGCAAGTTATTGCAAGAGTTACAACCTGCAGTACAAGAATGACCACTTCGTCACGAGAGGCCTAGGAGGTCTGCGAAGTCATGGTAAAGCCTCAAACCCTTACCGTAACCCTCTCCACCAAAGTAACGGTTCGTGGCGAGGATGGAGCGCAACCAGCGAGGACGTGACGCCTTGGGATGCTGGGGCATAAAATACCCCTTAACCTCCAGACCTAAACAATCCCGAAACGATCCCTAAACCTTAAAAACAGGTTCTAAGCCCCAAAGCCGAAACTTTGCCTATTAAACCATAATGAAAATACCAAACAACATCCAGCCTGGGATGCGAGGGCGTGCTGGACTTTGTATCTGCTTCTTAACTAGGAGGGGCTTCTGAAGACTTTGAAAAATACTAGTAGGTAAGATCCTCTAAAGCCCAATACGAGAACATATAAAATGTCCCAAAGCACTACCCAGTTGAGCAAACATCACCGGTTTAGGGTGTACCCTAAAACCTTGTCAGAATGGGCTTGGATTGCGTGCCAGCGAACACTCCTGGGGGCTGTTCTAAATTATGGTCCCTTTTTGGGTACCCTATATAATAAGGACTATACTACTATAGGGCCCAAAAAGGGACCATAATTTAGAACAACCCCCTCCTCAACAGCAGGGCCTTCTCGTTCCACGAAACCCCCCTTTTTTACACCTGGATTATGCATATGCCAGGAACCGAGGCGTCCGACGAAAGCTTAAACCCTAAACGAATCATACCATGCTTGAAAGTGGCTTTGGGGTTTAGTGCTTTTTCCTTTAGGGCCTTTAAGGCTTGGCGTTTAGGGTGATTCAGAAGAGCCGTGTTGCACACCTTTGCCAAAATCCTA